AAATGTCACTGTTCGACGTCCACGTTTATAAATTGTATCTCGTCGAACATATACCTCAGCCCTTACTCCACGGGCTCACTATAATATAACTTTTCGTTTTTGTCGTTAGTGCCAGTCATTGCTGCGGTGATTGTTTGCTGAAAACCATGTCGAGCTGCATGGTGTGTGTGTGTGTGTGTGTCTGTTAAATGTATATTGAGTCTGGGCAGTTCCGCCAAGATAAAGGCTCGGGTGAGTGGGTAGAGTTCACTGGTGGTCAATTAAGATTAACCCTTTGTAAGCCACGGGCATATATATATTATGCTCAGAGCCTCCGTAAGTCCATAAGAATTTATATATGGCTATAATACTAGGCGTTAATATGTCATACACCAGTTTCTGCTTATTTAAGGAGATACCCATGGCGTCCAAAAGGGTTAACCCACCACCCTTGGTTCTCGAGGCCAGGGCACCCACAATGCCTAAACCATGCTAGCTATGTTCTACATTTTGCAAGACTGCTATTTTTGGATACTATATACGGTTATTTTTTATGTCTCAATACTATCTTTTTATACTGTTCCTATCGTCTGTCATTCTAACTTAGTCTGTCTCATCATGCTACCGCTCTGTACAAGCTCACATGTGCGCATATAAATTGATTTGCTAGCCCTCGGTTTGTAATTATGTTTTATCTCTATAGATATCAAGTGAAGCTCCAGCAGCCCTTCTTACACTTCTTTCTATATTATGTAGAAGCTGTTATTTTACATATAGGAGCAAGACATGTTTAATACAGCAAATGCTAGTGCTTCCACACACAATCTGCATAATGTGTCACAGGTAAGGCCTGGTTGCAGCTTTAGCCAGAAGGAACACTAGACAGTAGAACATGCCAACCTGATACCAACAATAATCAGCATCCACTGTTTGTTACTTGGAACATTTTTATAGTTGGCACACATTCCTATAATATGTACATATAGGAGATATCGTTTAATACAGCAAAAGCTAGTGCTTCGAATTCCACTCACTATAAACACTGCATAATGTAAGACCTGGTTGCAGCTTTAGCCAGAGGAAACACTAGACAGTAGAACGCGCTCAAGCAGAGAAATGAGACACTAGACAGCCATGGAAAATTGACCGACCAAACTCGGAGACTAATTGCTGGGGGTTCATCTTCTGGCCACTAAATCAGGGGATCCACTTTCCCATTGGAACAGTGACAAGCTTTGCATGTGGAGGCAGAAGAGGTTTAGTCTAGACACACCAAACCTTTCTTTCAAAGGTGCACATGGAGAATGCATCCAGAGGTCGATGACTGTCTGATACCCATGCCAGGTAGCTAGGCTGGGGCGAATGTAAAGAAGAGCAATCCAGAGTCTGCAGTTGCTCAGCCGCACTGACGGTAAGTCATGTCCTGTCTCTCACATCTAGCTTCGAGGTCTTTTCAACTCCATGATCTGCAGATTATATATAGCAGAGACAAACTGCAGCTCCAGTCACCCGACTGATTTCATTAGGACTCACGTTGAACTGTAGCCACAGCAGAATTTAGCAAAGTTTGATTGTCAACTTTGGAAGTCTGGGTTCACAAATTTGTGACTGTGTAATACTATCCATACTACAGGGGTAACAAATTTGTGAATCCTCAAATTTTAGGGTGACAAATTTGTGAACCGCATGTTGGTAGCTATTGTTGTAAAGTGTCCATCATTTGAAAGGTTCACAAATTTGTCATCCGGTTTCTCAAATTTTCAACATAAATCTGCAAATTTTTTCACATGAAAGTGCTCAGTAGTATTGAAAATCAATCAAAATCTGAAAAATGTGGAACTTTTACTTGAGACACTGTTCCTAGGCCACTTGACACAATGAGTTTGACAGCATACAACAACCTAGCTATATGTTTTCTTACACGTGTATATGTTGTGCGTTATTTAGAGTAATCGCACTTTTTCTATCTAAGTTGCTTCAGAGTTTTTTAATTTGAGGGGTAGTATGCTATAAACATGTTTTTCGTGGCTAGCCCGTGTCAGACTAGCGGGACACCGCCGAGGGTTTGCACTTTAGTCATTAGCAACAATTGTGCGTTGGCGTATGTTTCAGATATTTTTTTCAATGGCACAGCAAAAACGCTGGTGATTTATGGTGAATTTAGGTATATTTCTCGGATTTTTCCTACCTTGCTTTCCAAACTCATTAGCATATTCATATTCCTCCTCAATACATTCTCTATGGGAGAGAAAACTCGTGCGCGACACACCCAGGAGCGAACGGTCCGTCTCCATTATGCGCAGGGGCTTTCTACGCGTGAAGCGCTAGGGCGTGACCGGGTGGCAAAGGTCAACGTGAAAACGTAATGCTCAAAACTTGGCCACGCTTATTTTTTCGGGATGGCTCTATTAATACGCCTGCGCGTGCCGCAGGAGGCAGAAAGAACGCCATTGCGCATAATGGGGACGGACCGTTCGCACCTGGGCGAGTCGCGCACGGGTTTTCTCTCCCATAGAGAATGTATTGAAGAGGAATATGAATATGCTAATGAGTTTGGAAAACAAGGTAGGAAAAATCCGAGAAATATACCTAAATTCACCATAAATCACCAGCGTTTTTGCTGTGCCATTGAAAAAAATATCTGAAACATACGCCCACGCACAATCGTTGCTAACGTAGCTTTTCATCGTAATTGTTTCAGACACGTGTATATAACAGTTCAGATGGCGGGGCAATTGCCGCGGCAACTTGAAGCTAACCGGGACAATTGCCGCGGCAACCGCGACAGAATAATGGCACTTTCTGTTTTCTTGTGCGCCAGTTGCCGCCGGAGAAAATGTCCTGGATGTTATTTTGCCTATGCAATTACCGCTGAAAATGTCCCGGAATGGGCCGTGATGAATAGCTACTGGCACTAATTTTCCACGGCCCACTCCATACATATCTTCCCCCCAGCGACAATGCGCGCCGCTAAAGCGTAGCCACGTGCTTTCTTGAGACAGTTGGCATTGTAACCTCCGGGGGGGTTGCGTATCCGGACAGCCGTAGCGCAATCGGGTGGCTGGTTGTTCAACCGGACAAGTTTGGCATCCGGGCACCCCGGATCTAGTACGCATGCGCTCGAGAAAGCGTGCCACGCCCTCGCCCTGCCCCCGCCTCGAACTCGAGGGTGTGGCTACGCGAACACCAACACTGTGCTTGCTGGGACAAGAGGGGGTTGCTCCGCGAGACTAGAAACAGTGAGTTTGGACTAACGTTGTTCACTATGCGTATTTGATCTTCCAATTCCCTACATCTACACATAGGTAAGGCCCCACCACCATGGCCTCCACCCAACTATCACCACTTGAGATAGTGGATGCTCTTGATGAACTAACAATAGAGAAGACGAAGGAGCTATTTTTTCATCTCAGTGTCCAACTCAAAACTCTTGATGACATTGACACAAACACAACAGGAGAAATGCGCAAGATCCGCTACGTCAAGGCCTGGTTTGACCAGGAGGCGGGGGCCAGTTGGGAGAAGATTGTAGCTGGCCTAAAAAAAATAGGTATGACGGCACTGGCCAACACTTTGGCAACTCGGCAATATTTAGGAGGAACTCCGACCCCAGCATCCGTCATTATGACTCCTGGCCCCGACCACCTCTCATCTCCAGTGACGGCAGCCCCAGAGGCAGGTGGTCCTGAACCCATTGGATCATCTCCCAGTGAGCCAGCCCTCGGTCCCCTGGCACGTCCCTCCTCCCCCACTGACAGGGTGTCACAGGTGAGAGCCGAGATCGACCGACTCAGTGACACCTTCTCAGACCTCATGTCCGACACGAGAGATGAAATGTGCACGAGAGAAAGTATAGATCCACGGTTTCTTGACAAGTTTCGTGATCGTCTTTTAGATCTTCCTGTCGCCAAAAGAGCACCACACACCAAGTTTTTTCATGAAAGGCTGGATGAATTTCTAAAAGCAGAGAATACTCGAAAAATATTTGCCATCATCCGGTGCTACAGCAGCTACCGCAACTACGCAGTTCTCCGAGAGGTGGTCAGGAAGTTCTGTCAGGGTTCGCTCCAGCAAAGGATGCAGGAATACTGCGACTCACTCGAGAAATTTGAGAAAGCGACAATGGTCGATGTGTACCTCGAGGCCATTGAAGCTAGTGATGTTCTCAGCTCAGAATTCACTAAAATGACGGTAAAGATCAACAAGCCTGTGTCGCAGTGCACTCTCCACGAAATTCGCAAGACGACCGAAGCGATCGCGGAAAGAGCGTCTCTACAGTCATACAGTGTGTACATTGGGCCGGTGTTGGAGGGCTCGGTTGTGCTACAGCTGGGACTCCCTGTCAGCTGTGTGGGGTGGATTCTGGGAGCCTTGACACCCGACTTCCTAGCCACACATCTCCTGTCAGACGTGGTCCTCGGTCAAGATATGATTTTTACCATAGACAAGCCTCTGGAGATTTTGGTACGTGTTTTATTACTTATGGGAGTTTGACAGGCCATGATACGTAGGTACAGCCCCTGTTTGGGAAACGTACGTTTTGTGAACCTGCCTTAGATCAGTGGTAGATCCAGATATAGATTACAACGGGCATGTACACTCCCACGTTCACTCCCACACCTTCTCAGCTGATATTGCTAACTGTCTACACATGAGCAAAGGGGCCACTGTGCATGTGTAAAAACTTAATTGGCACTAGCATTTACACTCTGCCATTGCCTTCAAGTATGCCTCATCCTGCTGACTCACTCTATGGTTCCTACATAATTTCTCCGCAGAATGGTGAACTGTGGGATGCCTGTAGGTCAGGAGATGTGATAACAGCTGCGTCTCTTCTCAATAGTGGGGCTGATATCGAAGCTTTATACTGGGTATGTTTTAAAATCACTGCATTCATCTTGTTTTGTCGCCCAATGCATCTACACCCTTAATCAACATGTCAGTAGTTCCCAATATGAAGTTTCACCTTAACCTTAGCAAGCCACGGGTATATATATGCCCAGAGCCTCCATAGTTTATATATAGCTATAATACTAGGAGTTATACATCCAATTGCTGCTTATTTAAGGAGATACCCATTGCGTCAAAAGGGTTAATAACAACCAGCAAACATTTCTAGAAGGTTTGTAAATCTGTCTGTCCACTCCTGCACATCTGATGCTAAGACACACGCAATAAGTAATTGGAGTATGTTTTTACGAAGTCAGCTTAAAGTTAGGCCATCATATTTTGTGGCTGAGGCCACCATTTTCATGACATATGTGCATGTGTTTTTGTGTGTATCTATGGATACGTGGACGAACACATATAGTAGTTACAAGCAGATTGAGATGTTACACATTCCTGAGCGTAGTATGAATGTGAGGTCTTTTCTTAATTGCACACCTCTTAATAATGCCTATAATCCTAAAAAGCACTGCAATCCATTGACAGTGCACTAGCGACTCCAGCGTAACCGTGACTGTAGTACACATTATGCATGTGCAAAAAACCACTGCTAGGAAATACAGTACTCAACAGGTAATTCATTTACTGTTTTTTAGCATATTTTCACTCATTGTTCATGCCAACACACTTTTGAAAGTTCAGGAAAATGGATAAGGCTGGATTTGCCATATGTCGCATTGCCCTGTCGCTCCGTGCCGCGTTGCGTGGTGCTGCGAAGATAGAAATGGATTCAATGAATCTCATTAGTTCAGAACCACAAGTGCTGTGCTCCTGGTAGCCATAAACTCGTGGTGCCAGAGAGAGAAGTTGGGGTATGCTCTGCTGATGAGGGTCAACAAGCCCGAAACAGCTGCCTGTGCTTGAGCACCTAGAAAATATCTGCCTTCAATATTCCATAAGTTGAGCTACCTGGCTTTCCTCTGCTACCAGGACCCATGCTAAAATGGAAATATCACTGCAAGAACATGATTCTGCACCAATGGTTTGTGACTAGTTTGGGGCTTTTCCACCATCCTGTAGAATTTTGCCGAACAAAGTGAGCCCTTTTAATGTATACCTAGTGTCTGATATTCATGGTTTATCTCTATCAAATCAAACGTGTCCACGCACAAAAAGCTTTGCACAAAAAACTTATGGTTGTCTACATCCAGAAGATCCGTATTTATTTTGTGTTATGATGGTTTCTGTCCGATTGGCAATAGGATTCAGGCACTCCTCTGCTCTTTGCCATTATGAAGGATAAAATCCAAGTGATTCGTCTCCTGATTTCGAGAGGAGCCGATCTAAACCTGGGGAATGGGGTGAGAGACTTATGCATGCGCAGCAAGGGTTGCAGTACTTTTGTCTCACTTCTACAAAGGTGTTTAGCCACTTCGTGCAGAAACGTAATATTTATAGTGTGCTGCGGGTTTGCACTTTAGTGCTTTGTTTATGTCGTGGCATGTAGCAAACCTGAAACTAAAGTCTTTTTCTTCACCTCCTTGGAAGTAGTTTATACAGGCACTACATACTTTACTTATGGCATACCTTTCTTATGGGATATACAGCTAACCTTTTGGTGTTAAGGTTTCATGGTTAGTGAAGGATACTATCAGAACGGGAAAGTTTTGAGGACTCCAATAGTGTTAGTGTTTTTACAAAAAAAGTAATGACAATTTTTCAAATAGAATTTAGACACTGCAGGGATAGTTGTCTGTATTAAGTGTCAGTATCGTTAACTGATGTGCTGGGCTACACTGTCCATTTACTTGCACTGCCTCACTAGCTTTCTAAGAGTACCGGCCAGCTACCCACCCTCTCTGTTGTAACCTCCAACGTATCCCATGATACACAAAACTAGAATGCAATCAAGGCTAATTTCCATACTGGCGCCTGGTTTTCATGCCAAAATGAACATTGCCATTTTTACTTAGTTTTACCCTTTCGCCTATTTGTTGTGCGTGGTGATGAAAGACAGACTGACACAGATTCACAAAAAACCGAAGTACAGAATTAAAGAAGGTGTATAATACTCGTTGGCCTCATTTAAAAATTATAGTGTGCTGTGGATTTGCACTTTAGTGCTTTCCTTATGTCATGGGATGTAGCAAACCTCTGAAAATTTCCCGTTCACCTCCCCGGAAGTAATTGTTTATACAGGCACTATATACATACTTTACTTATGGCATACCTTTCTTATGGGATATACAGCTAACCTTTGAGTGTTAAAGTTTCATGGCACGACTAGCTAGGATCGCTTCGCTCACCAATTATTTTGCAAGGTTGTAAGACAGCTGGAATAGGATCACACACATCTATAGCAGGGCCTATACGCCTACCTTTTTGAAAAAATACGATTGCACTTGCGAAGCAATTGTTGTTGGTAATTAATTACATGGAGCTACTTGAGTATAAGTCTAAAATGTGCATGTCACTTGAGGGTTTAGGACATATTATTATTTAGCAAGTTTAGAAGTGATTGCCATTACTAGCCTGTCTTTTGTCAAACAGTCACCACTGAAGTGGGCAGCTAGTGTAGGTGTTGATGCCCTTAAGGAGCTGGTGCAAGAAGGAGCCAGTTTGGACCTTCAGGATGAGGTAACAACTACATCCTTACCTCTCAGACTCTCTGTAATACAATGGAACCTCTGAACGAGGGACACACCTTGGGGACATAAATTTTTTCCCTTGTAGATAAGTCGTCCATATGTCGGAGGTTTGCCTATTTTGCTCTTAAGAGTGGAAACAAAATGTCCTTGTGCAAGGTGGGTATAAAGAGTGCACAAAGACTGCATTGATGTACAAGGAATCCGTCTCTCTGTTGTTTCTACGGCAGTCTCAGTCTTTGCCTGCTTCTTGGAGGTTGTCCACTTCTCGAAGGATCCACTGTATTCTGAAGCAATCCATGTCGTTCAATTTTACTCTCCCCACAGAGAGGGGACTCTGCAGTCTTCTATGCTGTAAGGCGACAAAAGCCAGATGTTCTGAGGGAGCTGGTGAGGGCTGGGAGCAATGTTAACCTCCTGAACGAGGTGCAGTTACAGTTTTTGCATTACTGTATAAGTTGTAATCTTTGAAGCAGTGTAAGAGCTTAGCAGTACTAATCAACAACGGACCTAACATTAGCTACAGTTCACACCTCACAGTTGTTTTATTGAGGTGCATAATTATACAACAAGAGCTTGTCTTTGCATTCCAGCTTCTCATCCCGTAGTATCTGTGTCACTTTAGTGATTTGGAGTATTATTGCGTGCGTTTCTGCTGCATGTTTAACAAAAATAGCCTATTCAAATAACATGTTCTGCAAATTTTTCATACGCTATTAAATTTTGTGCTTAGATTATAGTGGACGTCTAATTTCACGTATGTAGCATTCATTCCCTCTTGTATTCCCATGTGGACAAAGTTCTGATAACCAACATGAGGTTGCTTTATGGTTATACAGAACTTTAAGCCAATCAGATTGATTGTGACCTAACGCTCAATAGCTGTCCCTTCAGGTGCGTATGACGAAGTGTTATGAAGCAAATCATGCCGCTTATTAGAACATCGGTAGATGCTGTATGTAGGGATGGCATGTGCCAAATCTCACGTGATCCGCCTACAAAACACAAAAACTGACATGATCCACATACAGGAGCTTCCACTAACTGTTGACCCTCCACTACAGGAGGGCCTCACCCCTCTTATATATGCCACCATGACCGGGAGTTCCGTTATGGCAAATATTCTACTGGAAGGAAAGCACATCGACCTTGACATTCAGGAGAATGTGGGTTTGCCTGTTATACACTCTATTTGATACACTGCTCACAACATTTGGGATGTCAATGTGGAACTATTATCTTCCTTCCAGGTCGGAAGATGGTCAGCTCTCCACTTCTCTGCTGAGAATGGAGACTCTGCTACCACGTACGCTCTCATCAAAGCAGGAGCTAATGTCGACCTCAAGGCCAAGGTCTGTGGTAGGTAGCATTATCCTTTAAAATTTACTCCCTTCCTCCCTCCCTCCCTCCCTCCCTCCCTCCCTCCCTCTCTCTCTCTCTCTCTCTCTCTCTCTCTCTCTCACTCAGAATGGGTGGACGGCTATTGAGATGGCTGAAGTCAAGTCAGCAGACCAAGAAACTGCCCTTAGGCCTGAATTGTCCCTAGGCTACAGACACCGCTATAATGGACCCAGAGATTATGGGAAAGTGATTGAGCTGCTGAGAGGAAACCTTGTGGAGCCAGTTACTCCAACTTCTCAGCACGTAAGGAGAATGTGTGCCTTTTAGAGTTTAACACACTACAAGCACTTCAGTTCAGTGTTTGCTCTATTAAGGGGGTTGCCTGGGTTGAATTTTAGATTTTTATAATTACCTCTGATACTTAGGAAACATACAGGCCCACGTTATATGGCCTTTTCCTGCACCTCTGCCTACTTATAGCAGTAAAAAGTGCACACTGCGCATCACCCTGTAATGTGTTCTGCATCTTTATCAGCACTTTTCTGAAAGTTACTTTTTTTGGCACGAGGACAAACGTATTGCTTTCATAGTACATTGAAATGTTGCAAATATGCATTCATTTGATTCCTTATGTTGTGATCTAGGTAATGACATTTAGATCTTATTCATAAGAGTAAGTGTGTTGAAGTTACAGTGATTTGAAAGTGCAGAAATCTGTCCAGGTTAAAAAAAAATTTTACTCTGTCATGCAAAGTGCCAGATAGCAAAGCTAACGTCATTACCTGCTCTTAGGCTCTAAATACCTTGTGGTGAAACTTCTAGGGCTTACGCAAAACCTCAAGGAATTTATGGCTGTCCTGGTGGCTTATGTCAGAAATCCAGTTGCTCTCCTAATTAATTAACTTCCGGAATGTAATTAGTGACCACACCCACTTCCTATTTTTAAAATTTACTTTCACTATTGCTCTATCAGTGTGTGAAGTCTAGGAAAGGGAAACAGAACATTAATATTTATACATATTTTTAAAATGGAACTGTCAAAATCACTATAGTCTACCCAGGCAACCCCCTTAATTCAGGACTTGGATATTCCGTCTACTACCGGAAAGGAAAGGTCAGAGGTGAGAGATAAAGAGAGAGAGCTCAAACAAACAACATGGAGGACAAGGGAGATCATAGAGAAGAGGAAGCCAAGACCTTCAGACAACCAAACTGATACCAACAATAATTAGCATCCACTTGTTTGTTACTTGGAACATAATTATTATAGTTGGCACACATTCCTATAATACGTACATATGGGAAATAAACGTTTAATACAGCAAAAGCTAGTGCTTCCACACAGTACACACTGCATTATGTAAGGCCTGGTCACAGCTTTAGCCAGAGGGAACACTAGATAGTAGAACGTGCCAAGCAGAGAAATGAGACACTAAACAGCCATTGAAAATTGACCGTCCAAACTCAGACTAATTGCTGTGGTTCATCTCCTGGCCACTAAATCAGGGGATCCACTTTCTCATTGGAACGAAGAACTTTAGTCTAGACACACCAAAACCTTTCTTTCAAAGGTGCACTATGGAGAATGCATGCAGATGAGGTCGATGGCTGTCTGATACTCATGTAGACTGGGCCGGATGTAAAACGAGCAATGCAGAGTCCGCAGTTGCACAGCCAAACTAACAGTCAGTCACGTCCTGTCTCCCGCATCTATATAGCTCCGAGGTCCTTTGCTCTGCAGATTATAGCAGAGACAAACTGCAGCCCCAGTCACCCGACTGATTGCATTAGTTAACTGGCTCAGAGTATACAGCTATAGCTAGCTATTAGCTATATGTACCTGAAGTGTGGGAATACCAGAGAAGTATATTAATCTGGTGTAGAGATTGGAGTGTTGCATTGCAAAGTGTTATATAATATGTGTGCATGCACAAAATAGTAACAAGCCCCACCTTGTTTTGCTTATACATTATATGTCAGCCCTTTCAATTTTATTTCACACTCGCCAAGGCACCTACACTATAGTTGCTGCTCTTGATGAACGAGCTGTTGTTCTTTGTTTTGTTTTTCATCTCCTGAAACTAACTGGCTAGTGTCTTATCTCGTAATAAAAGTGTGGAGAAAATTATGTGAATATAATAGTGAGAAAGGGACAGGAAATAAAGGGGTGAACTATAGTTTACAATCCTACCTGGTAACTAACAGGGAATGCCTCATATCTTTCCACTGTTTCCAGTAAGATTCATAATAATGGTTGCAGTAAGATTGACAGAACAAGAACAAGAAGAGAATGTGAATGGAAGACATGATTGTAGTGTAGCTACTCTGCGGATAATTTTAACTTGCGGCGTGCACGTAAGCTGAGGGAATTTGAAGTCGCAAAGTGACAACTCCCACTGTGCTGCGTAATGCAACCTTCTCGTCCATATATGGCCATTTTCCGGCTCTGTGGGTGTAGTCGCCATGGCTAGTGTTCCTGATGCGAAGGAGCTGGAAGGCAGAAAGCAAAATGAGCCAGACCCGGCGCCCCAGTCTCGCGACTTCTTCTGGGACTCGATAACCCTCTACATCGTCGGGACCATCCTCGCTTTGACGGCCATCGACGTCGTCTCCGAGTTTCTCCGTGGATCTGACATCAAGTGCTACCAGCCCAATGAGACAGACTCTTCTTTTTCCTCGTCAGTTGAAAGTTACGTTAATGAATTCTGTAGTGGCTACCTGCCGCTGCTACAATTCCTCCCGAGCGTTATCGCCATCCACGCCATTGCCATACTAGCCCCACACTTCGTTTGGTTCAATGCCTATGGCGCCGACCTTGACTTCTTCTTTAGACACGTCTATAAACTGGAGCGGAACCGTCAGCAGGACACCGGAGACTACTCCCCGAGCAACTACATCATCTCGCAGCAGATTGATGAGGCGTTTTGCAAGTATGGGAGGTCAAACGGCATGTATTGGTGGTACATCTTCAAAATACTCCTCCAACTGTTCCTTTGTCTAGTGGGCATTTTCCTCGTCCCCCTCGTCATATTCAAACTGGATGAACAGAATGTGACATTTCCGTGCCCCGCGAATGAGCGTGATGCGAGAGGTGACAGTTGGCCACTCCCCGATCGAGAAATCGTGATATGCGTCTTCTCCCCCATGAATTTGCTCCAAAAGATTTGGGTCATATACCTCTTTCTCCTTGGACTTGCGGCCTTTTTCATACTGATAAATTTGTGTCAGCTGATGAAGTGGCACACAGCAGAGCTAGGACTCAAAGATTATGCCAAATTCTCTTTTGAAACTGGAATGTCTTATCACTACTATCACCCTCAAGTCGTATCTAAAGTTTTTCCAAAAAATTTCGCCGCAATGTTTCAACAAAACAATACTAATAAATGTCGAAGTGCAATGAATTTCTTGAGATACCCTTTTTCTCCGTTCAACATCCAGTCAAACTATGATTTCCTCATGGTCAAGCTGTTTCGGACCGACGGAGGCTTGGCCTACATCATGAAGGAGCTTCAGGTGCTGAGGTTGCTACGACAGATGAACAAAACGGACCTGTCAAAGCTGAACCTCTACAGGTTCAGATCTGCAACCAGCAATGGTAAGGGCCTGCCTTTAGTTATCAATCTGGCTATGAGTCACATCCTGTTTCAGGCCAGTACTATAATATAATGTACAAGTGTGTTATTACACGACACACAGGTCAAAGTGAGCCCATTCCCTTTGTCAACTTAGCCCACAAGTAATTGACAGTGCCAAGCCTCAAGTGTTGAATCAAACTGCCCATTCATTGCATCGTATGTATGCTCTTCCTCTACTGTAGCTCATGGTACACATGTAAATAAGCGTTCCACATAGCTTTCTGCCTCTAAACATGTCTCCTCCCACATGACTATTGTATATTCAAAAGGAGACAAGGTTTATGCACAAGACAGGAGTAGTGTGAATAGCCTACCATTCAGCAATGCTGTCTCTAACAATGGCAGTTGTGTAAGAAGAACAGGATATGGGCGAGGAGCACGGAGCAAGGAGACAGCAGAAAAAAAAAAAAAGAAAAAAAAAAAAGAAAGAAAAAGAAAAAAAAAAGCGGGAAAAAAAAAAAGAAAAAAAAAAAAAGGAGAAAAGTATGAAAAGTTATGGATGAAGTATATAAAAAAGAAAAGGAAAAAGGAGGAAGTAAAAAGTTAAAAAAAAAAAAAGAGAAATTAGTGAAAAAAAACAAAAAAATAGGAATAAATACAAAGGGAAAACAAGAAAAATGAAAAAATAGGAAAAATAAAGAAAAATAGAAACGTACGAGATAAAAAAAAAAAAAAAAAGTAAAAAAAAAACAAAAAAAAATAAGAAGGTATGTTTAGAAAAAAAAAAAAAGACCCCACTGTGTTTATTTGATTCTTAATTTTAGAGTGTTTAATTAGTTTTTAAAGACAATTAAAAAAAAAAAGGGATAAAACAAAAAAAAAAAAAAAAAAAAAAAAAGAAAAAAAAATAGATAAAAAACAAACGAAAATATAAAAGATAAAAAGTAGGATTAGAAAGAATTAGAAACAAAAAAAAGTTTTATAGAAAAAAATAGAATAATATAACCCAGTAAAAAATAAAAAAATGAAGGTAAAGGGTAAACAAGAAAGTCAAAAGAATTTAAAAGAAATTAAAAATAAAAAATAAAGAAACACAAACATAAAAACAAATTTAAACCAGAAAAAATATTTAAAAGAAATAAAAAAAAAAAAAAAAATTAAAAAATAAAAATAAAAGTTATAGATTTTGCACATTTTAAGCAGTTGCCAAATTTAGCAGTTTGGAAGTAGGAAAGCATGTTAGCCAGATTGAAATGTGTGCCATTAAATTTCGTTATGTACTACAGCTTTGTTTACTAATTGGCATTCATAAGGTTTAATTTTTCCAGAAAATTTAACCCTTAGCCAGCCACGGGCATATATATATGCCCAGAGCCTCCATAAGTCCATAAGAACTTATATATAATGTGGGTATAATACTGGGCGTTAATATGTTATACATCAATATCTGCTTATTTAAGGAGATACCCATGGCGTCCAAAGGGTTAAACCTGTGTGTACGTTTAACGTATACACAAGTTTTACCTAACCTGTATTCATCTTAATTGCATTGCTTATAACAGGAGATGACACAGGGTGGAATCTTCCAGAGTTTGCATCAAATAGCCATGCACCAGCACTGGATGAGAAAGTGTTGGTAAGTTTAACAATATCCACATTGATTCCTCATTATGTGATTAGTCCACTTAGTAATATGACCACAAAAATTCATAGTGGGAAGACAGAAAAGAGACAAGTACAAAGCTATTAGTACCCATAGCACAGCATGCACAGTTCATAACGGCCAAAACTGTGTTCTCTTGAAATGGGTGCAGGCGGCGGACTAGAAACCAGTATACAACTTGGAGTGGCCTAATGAGTGTGATTGTCTTAGGGTGTTGTTGTTTTTCTCACACAAGTGTCGAGAACATGGATTTTACCATACGTGATTAATCCTCGGCGTGCATGCGCAGCGAGGGTTACAGTACTTGGTTCGTAAGTGTGCCCGTCTGTCTGTCTGTCTCTCTGTCAGTCTGTCTGTCTGTCTGTCTGTCTGTCTGTCTGTCTGTTATCACGTTTTCTGCCACCCCGCGCAAGAAATCGGCCAAAGAGCGATAGTAACGGGTTCAGTGCTACACTGGCTTGATTTTAAAAAGCAATTTTCATAATACTACTGCATTTTAAAGTTATGGCATGAAAACCAAGTGAACAAGCCAATAAATGCTAATTAGCACAGGCTTACCTCGACCGGGTTCGCTTGCTCTGTGTATCTTGAAGGCACAAGAACTCACAACAAAGGGCGTGTATCGACTCCCGCATGCTATCTACTACTGTAGCTGGCCCGTGTCAGACTCTCCGCGAGCTACTAGTGGGAGACCAGCCCACACTTAGCGGTACCACCCATGCGCAGTTCGCCGAGGGTTTGCACTTCATTGTTTGTGTGTTCAGTTAGTTGGAATAAACTAATGTTGGGTACATGTAGTGGGACTTGTAGTATTTCAGTGGTGGTGGACACAGATATACAAACCTGGTTATGGAACCCTCGCAGTCATGTACCAAGAAATAACTGTCTTTCATATGCATACTACTGGAGCTGTTAGTGTCTCATCTTTTGGTTCCCAGCTTTTGTGCACATGTATGTGAGAGAAGGTCAGCGTGAAAGACGGTGTTAGAATGAAATTAGCAAACTGTCCAGACTCATTGAAAAATCTGCCTGGAAGGCTCTCTATGTGTTTACCCTCAGGCAGCAAAACAACTTTTGTTTGCCACTGAAACAAAGACCATGTCGGTGGGTCACTTACTCTCTCACACTTGGTGTACCTAGTAGACAGTACTTGAGCCTTACGACTTGTGACCTAGCTACCCCATAGAGCATTACTATTACACTCTACTAGTGGAAATGCTTGGCATTCTTTGGGCGAGCAGAGCGAGAACTCTAGTATATACAACCATCATCATTACTAGCGATAACATAGCTACGTACCTACAGGTTAAATGTTTCAGCAAGTAACAGAAGTTATTATGGTGTTGACATAGTATTAGGTTGAGTAAGGCAGCTTGCGCATACGTAGCTAGTGAAACTAGACCAGAAGAAAGTAGCAACGGAAAGGTAATGTGCCCACTCCCCCTCTCCATCTCTTAATCGTCGCTGAAAAGACAAGCCTCTCTGTCGTGAGGACTTTCGACGGCCAGGCGTTCTGTCTGTCTGCCTCTTGGAACAGCAGTATGGTTGCCTTGCCCGCTCAAAATCTCGTAATTGTCACTGAAAAAGACGAGCTTCTCTGTCGTGAGGATTTCGACGGCCGGGCATACATAGATAGAAAATTCGAGCCGAAGACACGATTCTCTGTCTGTTTTTCTTCGACGAAGAACACTATCCTCCGCGGATGAATCCATCTTCTTCGAAGCCAACTGGACGGACTGTAAGAGGATGGAGAAAAAATTCCGCACAGTATCTCGAAGAAGCGCGTAATAATAACGCATGCGCACTAAGACGACGTACGGTGCGTCGTAGAAAATTCGAGCCGAAGACACGACTAGGTGGGCTCGCTCCGCTCGCCCCTACACTCGAGTGTTTAAACACACTCCAATGCAGTATCTCTTTCTCACATGTGCAACATGCACACAAGGAAGGGGCTGGGATCAGATAGCCTGTATTGTGTCTGATGGTTTGTGGGATTATGGATATCATAGCACTCCTTACCCCATGCACTGCACATGCCAGGCCAGGGACATGCCAGGCAAAGCCGCAGCTTTCACACCAGGCACACAAGGTGGGTTTCATTTTATGACATATAGCCTGTGGATTTGCAAGAGTTTCAGTTAGCAGCCCCTCCCGTTATTTCGCACGTGAGCAAGGTTTTAGGGGGCATGGCCTATGGCGCGTGACTTGTGCATGGAGGCGCGGTCACTTGTGCGGCTTCCAGAAGTCGTTGCGCGCTGGGTCCGTTCTTTACACTTGATCCTCTGAAACTATGTTCCCATAGGAGAAAGCACAGGGCTAAGCAACAGCAGCCTCAATCTGCATCGCTAAGAGTCCATGTGTATACACTAGGCCATTCACTTTATAATTATGCATAGGCTATGTTAATGTTGCCCTTTTTTGTTATTTTGTGCATTCGACACCTTTGTGCAATCGCAACACACAATTTTTTTGAACCATCTCCGTTTGCGCTGGTAAAGCATGCACATGCTTCTAGCTGTGAGGATAAGTGGCACATGTGTTTTTGGTATTAGCTGCTTTTTGCACATGTGTGATTATTTAAAGCTGTTATTTCATTTCATTTGACCAGGTATTGCCCCAGACATTCCGTGGGGTCGTCATGGGTTCTGCTTTGAGATGTGAAGGTGGCTATGAAGACAGACCGCAAATAGTCAGTTTTGCTAAAGACCGTGTAAAATTAGCGGCTGCCCAGGTGGATCTCGCTGGAAAACTTCAGACAGGAGGACAGGATCGCAGGGAGGAGGATCAGCAACACGATGCTGATCGGTTGCAGCAAACAGCTCACGAGTATAAATCTGAGGCGGAGCAGCTTAAAAAATACAGAACCACTCTGAAGAAAATGGAGGGGGAGCTGGGCCCCAAAAAGCAAGAACTGGAGGCAGTCAAATCAACCCTGAAAGAAGCACTCGAGTTTGAATCAGATGCAATAAAGGTGTCCCGAGAGAGTACCGTCGTACGGGGGCAAAGGAAAGTAAAGATGACGAATGTTGAGCAGCAGCAGTTGGACAAAGAAGGGGAGATTGCTGCGGGGAAGGTAGCTGAGGCTGGGAAAGGAGGTGCTGGGGTTACAGGGGGAGCAGGACCTGGACAGTTGTCATCATCTCATCTATTGTCTGAGCTCACGGACACAGCAACTCAACTGCAACTGGAGGTGCTGCAGCTTGAGAAAAGTATCCGAGAAGCTAGAGTGGTGCACGACACTCACAGAAAAGAGGAAGATTCGCTCGTTGCAAGGTTGAAAACACTCCAAACCGACCAGCAGATGCTGGCGTACAAACAGCAGGTTCTTGCCAGAGCACAGGGCAACAGCGAGCTACTGCGGGTTGCCCTGCAGAATTCTGGGCCAACCCTCGTGAGTGCCCTGGTCATAGGGTTTGACATGGAATCCGAGGGCCTCTCTAGTGCACTAGCAAGAATCTTCAGGCGGGTAAGTATTCCCATTCTCTGTGACATTGATTTTGTGAGTATATTATATCAGTGCCAGCATTGAAGTGTATCGAGCATAACTTTATTTGGTGTACATAACTATGTACGTACACTACCAGAGAGTTTGGTCTTGCATGGTAGGGTGCATAAAACGTTTGCTTCGTGTTCCATTGATCATACACATTTCCAGCATAGATCTTTCAGCCTGCCTGGCGTGAGATCGGGATCGAGACGTGCGGATAATTAATCTGAGGTAATCCGGTGAAGAAAGTCATTCGTGCCAGCGCTTACGTGCTCATAAACTCGCTCATGTATTTATGATCTCGCCTGTTTACGAGTCAGAGTACTCTCTCACGTTGGATAAGAGCTCACTTCCACGGCCTACCACATGTAGCTCTCCCATAGCACAATGGTAGTGCCCTTGCCCTTGCCCAGACAGCAAGAAGTGGTGGGTTCGAATCACACAGGTAGAGCTGATTTTTCTTTCTTTCTTTCTTTCCTTCTTACTTATGCACTCTTCACACATTTCTTTCAGCCTGCCTGGCGTGAGATCAGGGGCGAGAGGTGCGGATAATTAATCTGAGGTAATCCTGTGAAGAAAGCCAGCGCTTACAAGCTCATAAACCTACTTAGGTACACTACCAGAGAGTTTGGTCTTGCATGGTAGGGTGCATTAAAACGTTTGCTTGGTGTTCCATTGATCATACACATTTCCAGCATAGATCATAATATCACACGTGTAACTTCTATTGTACAGTGACTGTGCTTTTGCATCTCCCCAGGTGGGATTCATCAACTTCAGCTCTGACTATGCTGACTACAAGAACCCAGTGAAGGTTGCCAGCAGATCTCGCTACATCTTCAATGCTACTCTCCCTGCTGATATCCTCACATGCGCTGGCTTGGATGATAACGAGCAACTCACAGTGAGCAATTTTGCGGTACTCGTCAAGCACAACGAATATTCGTGGAAAGTAATCCTTGATTTTTTCATTATCAAGCTCTTTTATAATAATAGTTCCGAGGGTTGTTTGCAAGAGGGGCTCTGCTTTCCTTGTCGACCTTGCAGCTTGGCACATGGTATATATATAGCAGGTATACTACACATATGGAGGCACAGCAATGCTTTTAAAGTCTTCCGGCCCCTTTCCCTGTCATTTTTACCAAACAGAACAAGGATTTTTTAACTGTGGTTTCTTTGCCCATGGCATCAGAGACTGTTGGACTTCTGGACCTATATGTAAAACACATGGTTCATGGATCCATAGGTTTCACTGTACATCGAATGGAGGTTCAACCATTGTTACCTCTGCTTTGCTTGTTGTCACATGCATACACTTGTCATACCCAGGTCAGTAATTGCTGAGTGTGAGTGTACTGTGCATAGTGGTTGAATTTTGCCTGTAGCTAGCCTGTGTCAGACTCTCAGCAAAGCTAGTGAGAAAGCACAGTCACGTAACACCGTAGCTACCCCGGCTCATACCCATGTATGTGTATGGGCATTGCAATGCACACACAGGGCATATGTTTCTAGTTTGCATAACACCTAGCCCAACTATCAATATGCGTATGGGCATTGCAATGCCCACACAGGCATGCTTTTCCTGTGTACCGAGGGTTTGCACCTAATATTCTGCAAGCCTTCATCACTCTGTAGCTACTTTGTTCTTGCCTATTGTGATGCAGGTGTTGATGGAGATCTGGTACAAGAACTTCAAGCAGACCTCTCTGTCTGGAGACAGGAAGGTCTCCAATTATATTGTGATTGGTCCTGTCTCTGACAGCATGCATGTTGCGACAGGTTGGTTACAGTTCTGTGGCTAGAATTATACATGGCAACACCACATGATAACAGCATCTGCATACCTATCATAATAATTAGAGCCCCAGAATTTCATCCCTGTTATCCTGCCACAGTCAATACAAGTGAAAAATATAGTTTATCTGGGATGATAGGGAATAGGTTTGGTTTAACAGCATATAGGCACATAAAACTACATGACATTAATCTTCAACATTCCAATAAGACATTTTAGACTCTCTTTTGTAATGCCTAATGCTACCATATCAATTGTGTAATGTTACACATGATATTATATTATCTTGGTTCATTTTCAGTGAACAGAATGCTGTCCAATTACCAGGGCTACCTGTCACATCATGCTGTGATCATGACCCTTAAACCAGAGAGAGTTGGTGGGAAAGCTACAACGACCTTTTAAACACTTCACACCTCCAGATGATGGGTAATTGCATCGTGTTATGTAATGTTACTCGCTATAGTGTGTTTTGTATTTTTATGTAGGTACGTTGAAATTTCACGCAATGTAAAGATTGAAGGTGATGCTCGAGATTGGGAGGGAGCATCTACTAGTGCTGACGGCGATGTGTGCACTGAGAGTCCATTCACAATTGACCTGGGAACCACGGAAATGGAGTTTTCTTTCAAGCTCTATAGAGGCTCTCATGTCTAGTTTAGTACTGTAACCAACGCTTAGTATTATCAGTAACGGATTTTTTTGGAGCTTTTAAGGTAAATAGTTGGTACTTTTCTTAGTTTTTGGTGCATGTTCTTTGGCTGCCACCTGTATATTTCATTGTGTAAATATTTTTGTACACTACTTGAAATCCATGCAAACTTTCATAACAGTGATTATCGCATACTTCGAGGTTGGCCTGATGGTAAATGACCAAGACCCACATTATTAACCCTCGGCGCGCATGCGCTAGAGGGTTATAGTACTTGGTTCGTAAGTGTGTCTGTCCGTCTGTCTGTTACCACGTTTTCTGCCACCACGCACAAGAAATCGGCCAAAGAGCGATAGTAACTGGTTCAGTGCTACACTGGCTTCATTTTTAAAAATGCGATTTTGATATAACTTCTGCGTTCAAAAGTTATGGCGTGAAAGGCAAGTGAACAAGCCAAAATGCAAATTAGCACAGGCTTACCTCGACCGCGTCCGCTCGCTCTGTGTATCTTGAAGGCACAAGAAGTCACAACGAAGGCCATGTATCGACTCCCGCATGCTATCTACTACTGTAGCTAGCCCGCGTCAGACTCTCCGTGAGCAACTAGCGGGATAGCTACCACGAGTAAAGGCATATAAAGCCCAGCCCCATCAATTAGTGGTACCGCGCATGCGCAGTTCGCCGAGGGTTTGCACTTTAGTTGGTAAAGCCCCCATTATTACTTTGGTAAGTGGTAAAAGCCCTCTTGTATATACTCATACACATTTTTGTAAAGTGATGGGCTGGACCACGCTGACAACTTCTCATAGCTTTACTGAGAATCTGACAAAGCTGAATAGGTAGACTGTGTTTTAGGCATTGTGGGAAGAAAGCTAAGTATTGAGTAGAATATTGGCATGTTCTTTTCACTGCATAGCTTTTGAACACACATTACACAATGAACACCATTTATGGTAAGTGGTAAAAACCCTTGTGTACTCACACACGTGTGTTCAATGATGGGCTGGGCCACGCTGATGATTTCTCATTGCTTTACTGAGAGTCTGACATGGCTGAATAAGTAGACTGTGTGAAGAAAGCTATTGTTGATTATATAGCATAATTATTGGCATGTTCGCTTGCTTTTCACTGCACAGCTTTTGAACACACATTATTAACCCTCGGCGCGCATGCTCAGCGAGGGATATATACCGTAGTTAACCCTAGGCGCGCATGCGCATCGAGGGTTCCTGCAGTAACCCTCGGCGCGCATGCGCGGCGAGGGTACTGTAGTTACCCTCGGCGCGCATGCGCAGCGAGGGTACTGTAGTTGGGCTTGTCTGTCTGTCTGTTACTCTCAATCTCACTTCTCGAATGTCTGTTCGTCTCGCAAACGATACGACCTACCTAACGGGCAATGAAGGTCAGAAATTTCGAACGGTTTTCTCTGAAAATGCTTCGTTGCAAAGCTAGAGCGCTTCCGCCATTGAACGGCTAATGCTAGTCGGCCATTTTTATCGCTGCGGAAAATGCGCATGCGCTTATATTTTCAACAGGCTCAGGTCCGCTTGCTCTGTGTATCTTGAAGGCACGAGAAGTCACAACTAAGGGCGTGTATCGACTCCCACATGCTATCTACTACTGTAGCTAGCCCGTGTCAGACGCTACTAGCGGGAGACCATGAGTACTCTACATACTAATAGCAGCCCAGCCCATCAATTAGCGGTGCCCAGTTCGCCGAGGGTTTGCACTTTAGTGCTTTTCATTGGGTTTGTCTGTCTGTCTGTCTGTCTGTTACTCTCAATCTCACTTCTCGAGTGTCTGTTCGTCTCACAAAGGATACGACCTACCTAACGGGCAATGAAGGTCAGAAATTTCAAACAGTTTTCTCTGAAAATGCTCCGTTGCAGAGCTAGAGCGCTTCCGCCATTGTACGGCTAATGCTAGTCGGCCATTTTTATCGCTGAGGAAAATGCGCATGCGCTTATATGGGTCCGCTTGCTCTGTGTATCTTGAAGGCACGAAAAGTCACAACGAAGGGCGTGTATCGACTCCCACATGCTATCTACTACTGTAGCTAGCCCGTGTCAGCGGGAGTATACTACATACTAATAGCATCAATTAGCGGTACCGCGCATGCCCAGTTCGCCGAGGGTTTGCACTTTAGTGCTTTTCATTGGGTCTGTGTGTCTGTGCCAATATGCAAATACGTAACGGACGAGACGGCTTACCGCGGTCTGATCGATCCGCGTGCTCTGCGTACCTCGGAGGCACCAGAAGATGCAACACAGGGCGTGTATCGCCTCTCGCATGCTATCTAGTAGTGTAGTTAGCCCGCGTAAGACTGCGCGAGCTGGCAAGAGACCACGAGTAACAGCTAAAACTAAACCCAACCCATCAATTAGTGGTACGGCGCATGCGTTTACTTACGCGTGCGCGTCACAGTGCGCCGAGAGTTAGCATTCAGTGCTCATTTGGTAAATGGTCAAAGCCCTCGTGTGAGTACAGGTGTGTTAAATGATGGGTTGGGCCACGCTCACGTTTTCTCATTGCTTTTACTGAGAGTCTGACAAGGCGGAAAGAAAGCTAGTGTTGATTAACATATTGGCATGTTCGCTTGCTTTTCACTGCGCAGCTTTTGAACACAGTACTTATTAGCGAATATCGCCTAAATGGAGCCCTGAAAAACCACTGCTACTGCTACATTGCCGATACGTTTGGTGCTGTGGCAGCAGACAGACGTCGTGATACACAAGCCGAGTACTGTTACCATCACTGCGCATGCGCACAGAGAGTTAATAATACTGCAGGCTATAGACAATGGAGTTGAGACTTGTCTCATTAGCTTGTGTGTCTAACCAACCCGGCCAACCAGAGCGATAGCTATGTCTTTTGTTTTCACGGAGACAGTCCTCAAAATTGACAAGGCAAACCGCTAAAACTGTGCTCAATCTCTAGTAAAATTGTCGATGGTCGCAAACAACTGTCCAGGGTATGTATAATGCTCCATTATCAGAAAGAGATCACAAAAGTATATCATTTTATATTCTTAGATCTATTGCACAGGGGGCAGTATGTGATTTTCAGAGATCCGTTTTGAGACACAGGATTGAAACCCCACAAGTCCCTGTCAGCTTGACACATAACAACAGGTGTGTTGCTTACAGCCTTATGTATATATACGGAGGATACAGATAGAACAGAAAGCGGGCTCGCCAATGAACTGCAGCTTCTGATCAATGCGAGTTAGCTATACCTTGGCTAATTATTGCTGCTGATTCTGAAGTTCTACACAATCACACACAACTGTTGCATCTGTATTGAACTTCAAATTTATAAGAGTTTCGCATTATATCTAGCTACATAATTATAGCTAACTAGTTCTAGTTCATAAACACAAGTTCCTCGTAATCAGTCCTAGTTCAGGTCCTGGATATTCTCCACTGGATCATCCACAGTATCCAGGTCTTCCTCCTGCTCTGGCACAGCCTTTCCGTTGTTGTGACCTTCCATGTAGCAGTTGGTGTAGTTGGCACAGGCGTGGCACAGCTGGTGCGGCTTATCATGGCACTCAAACCGGCCTCCATTGTACAGATTAGCACATCTATGTGTGTGTCCTTGGACTAATGATGATCCAAAACACGGCTGTGGGGATGGTGGTTAGAAAAACAACACTGCAGCTCTCACATAGCAAACTAAAAGGATATCCACTTACAAATTTTGGAGCACTGTCATTGTTTGCCATTTGAGGACCTGTACGATTAGTAGTTGAGGATGAAATCCTGAACAAAACACTGACTGCTCCTCAAACCACTGTAAGTTGCTCACAGACAAGAATATCACTCTTCTCACTATGCCTGTACTTATCTGCTGCGGTCTTTCCTACATTGGCGCTACTGCACACCGGAAATTCAACGGCCCTTGCGGCTGGGGTCAGGTGGAGGCCACTCGACCCCAGCCGCGAATTTCCGGTGCTTAAATAGTGGTCCACATAGTGTCCTATTTACACAGAGCTATTCCCTTTTGAACGCTATCAGTGGCCACTCGACCCCAGCCGCAAGGGCCGTTGAATTTCCGGTGCGTAAATAGTGGTCCATATGGTGTCCTATTTACACAGAAGTGTTCCCTTTTGAACGCTATCCGCTATCGATGGGAAGATCACACAGCATTGTGACAGTAGTGTTCTCCCATTTGCAAGAGTGTGGGAGTGGGAGAGGCCTAAAGCCGCAGTGTACAGTGCCCACCATTGACAGAGCTTCTGAAGATGGAAGTATGAATAACCATGAGCTCTTAGAAGATGCCATTGTGATGAGGATACTGATAATGTCCTTGTAAAAACTGAGACTCCAAGGGACATGTATATATGGCATGATGTGTATCCAATGAGTCTGTGGAAATAATTATGATGTAGCTCTGTCGCATTTTTGTAGGGTAGCTGGAGCAGGTACCAATAGAACATCATAAAACCGAACTTGGCTATTGACACATGAACTCAAGGCAAAAGTGCAACTGAGATACATAGACCGGGCGACATGAATAAAGTGCAACTTTGCTGCACTCAGACTTGTGTGCCTGCATGCTGCAGTATAGCGATGTATACAAAAGACATGATTGTTGTTCAGTCTACGGAGTTACACATTCTGATGCCTACATGCTGCATGAGTAGCTACATAGACATGTAGGTGGAGAACTAACATCAACATTCACTGGCTTAGCTTGTTAGTACAACAAATATATGCAGTATATAATTATACCTCCAACAAATATGAAAACCATTGATCATAATTTTTCACATCCATCACACAGTTTTCAATTGATGTCTGTTGGTCAAGTCACAAAAATTGTATTACACAATTGACAAAAAGAATACAGGGAAGCTACAGTGGCATGGGGAGTCCGCTGACTTGACTATGGCAGTCCTGATACACATCCTCATAGTCCTTCCCACTCTGGACCATCACCACACTGGTGGGTCTCTGCGTCCCTCCAGCAAGACCGAGGTCCTTCCGACACGGGACGTAGCAGTACGGCACCTCCTTCTCCTCGCAGAATACGGGGATGTGAGAGATGACGTCAATGGGACTCACGTCTCCCGCCAAAACAACCACTCCCTTTTCGTTCTTTCGCAGGGCCTTCACCACCTCACGTACGCCTCGCCGAAGCTTCTTGGCTTTCTTGGCCTTCCTCACGGCTTTGTAGAGCCTCTTGGTTAGCTTTCTGCTGGCCATAGGTTTGGCGATGACACTGGCTAGCTCCACCAGTTCGTCGTAAGACCTAGTAGTCACGGCGGGCTTTGTCTGACTCTCGTCCAGGTCAACGGCCGACTGGTCAAGGCTCTCTTCTTTCGCTACAACTTCCTCTCCCGCCTCACCCTCCTCCTCATCTTCTCTCTTACGCTTTCCCATCGCAAAGTCAAGGCTTGGCGTTGGGTCTGTTACGCACACGTGTAAGGTTCAAGGGTCATGTATATACACAGCGCAGGCGCGGTAAAGGTTCAAAGGTTAACAGAACTTGGGCGTGTACAATACATATCTACATACATGGATTAATAGAGCTGAATGAGTTGAAATGAGGACAATATATAATAACAAACGATGCAGCCAACAGAAACTGTAGTATGTGGTCTAACAACAATAATAATGAATTAGGGGCAGGTCAGTTGGGGGTGTGTGCTGTGCTATTCCATGGCCCCGGCCTGCAGCTCTAGGATCCTGCGGCCCAGGTTGGCATTGTGCTGCTGGAGGTAGCGAATCATGTCCGCCTGTCTCTCCAGCAACTCATCCAGGTCCTCTCCGTCCCTGAATGAGTGGAGACATAGCAAAAGTGGTATATACCCCGATTAAAGTGCCCTCTACAATAGAAGGCACTATTGCCTGTCTGCAATCACATACTCAGCAGACATTGCAAGTGATTCAGCAAAATTGTTAGAAACACGTTTTCCCATGGGAGATATCTTCCTCCATGTACAGTATAATACTAGCAATGCATTCTTGGCGAGCGAATCACATATAACTTAACAATAATACGTACTGTGCATTTGTCATTACACAGAAATATACAACATTCAGATGATTAGGTAATAGGTTCGGTTTGCTTGCCAAAGTGTATCATGAAGTTACAAGACAGAGTACATATATACCTGAATCCGACGGCGGTGACAGAGGAGGTGGGGCTCTCTGATCCAGTGAAGGTGTCACTGATGACGTCGGGAGGCTGTTTGGCCATGTTGAACATGGTGGCTCGCACTGCACAACACCAAATGAGGTCAGTAAGTACACTTCCTACGCCTTACAATACATTCATGCAAACACTCTGCACACACGCACGCACGCACGCACGCACGCACGCACACACACACACACACACACCACGCACGCACACACACACACACACACACACACAGATTTACGCATCACATACATATTACTGCAACATTGATCACTTTTTACTGAGGGCTATTCACTACACGACTTAACCCCACATCCATTTCCCAATGCACGTACATATACAGTGCTTTGCACATAGAGACTGAAACTAGGGATTTGAATAGTGTATGTTACTACATACCGATGTAGTAGACGAGGCAGGGAAGGACAAAGATGAGCTCGAGGCCCACAATGACGTAGAGGAAGTCGACCGGGTAGAGGGAGTTGCTCACCACCTTGGTCTCGTGGACACGGTAGAAATAGAGCAGAGAGACCAGGAGCAACACCGCTGCATTGGCTGGAGGGAGGGGAGGTGTGCACACAGCTAGTACAGTCATACACTGCATACATGTTTCATTACATGTGTGTGTAAAAGTATAGGTTTCCTCATAAATATGTACAAGCATGCAATGGGATTAAACTTGTCAATACTTCTGTCCCCAGCAGAGTGGGAGGATTCACTATAGAATAGGGAGAGAACTGTATGATGCTGCAAGTGAGGGAGTGACTGAGCCTGCTATATAATATATAGCTGTGGGGATTATACAAGGAAGTTCTGAAACACTTTGTTGCTAGGGTAACACAATATACCAAGTCATCACAGAAGACGTATATATGTAGAGTGTGACATACAATGACTACAGTCTTCGAGGCCAATTAATATTGAGTCTATTGTATGGTGATATTAACATTACAGTTGCAAGAAATACGTCAATTCATTCATGAATGGACTTACCAATGGACACGACTATGAATGGGACCCTGCGAACATTCCTCATGTTACGGTAGAACTTGAGGTAGCCCTTCCTGCGCAGGACCTGGTGCCTCCACTGTACCACCCTGCACAGTAGCATCACAGCCATTTAGCACAACACACTCACAGTGTATTCTAGACGGAGGCATACACTTGTAGGCCTTAGCAAAGTCGCTATAAGTCATTGTTAAGACACACTAGCTAATTAAAGGGTGGAGGTGGTTAGTGTCATACAAAAGAGACGAGAGAGTGTTTTGTAAAAGACACATTATCACAACACTGGCTCACCTATCAAACACCCCTACAACAGCCCACACAGCCACATGGATCATGGCAAAGTAGGCCACCAGTCGGTACGACGGCAGATTGTCCTGATGATTCAATCCGTACAGGGACATCCCCACTAGAGCTGCAGCATACACAACCTGTGCAACAGAGATCATCACACACTGACTATTATCAAAACTACTTTATACCAAACACACATACATCTAATATATACAACTCCAGCACTATTGGAACCCACTTACTTCATCCAACTCAACGGCACCATAAATCACAAGTTAAATTTCTACCGGTTAATTGTTCACATATACTGCAAATTGTATAGAGCCTGGGGCAAAAAGCACAACTATTATGAAACCTCTGTTCTATAGAGGACACTTGGTTCATACATTAGTATATAATTAGCCACCTCCAAAGAAGGACACCTGTCTTAGGTTCACAGTATGCATACACACAGTATGACCCCTTGCAGGACTGACCAGGAGAAGAAGTTCAAGGATGGAGAGATAGCCAGTGAAGATGTGGGAGTGGGGAGTGTTGGTGACTGACTGGGACGGAGGATGACGCACCAACGGACTCACATCCGAACCACTATGCTCGTCTGAGTCATCCTCAAAGAAATAGGCCTGCAGTGAGACCAGTGGTGGTATGGGTCAGGTTAAGATAAGAGATCATCAGGATGTATCTACATACGGGCTTAAAACCGAGAATCTACTCTTCACTGTTCAGAGCATTAATGAACACACCAAGTGAAAATCTGGATGCAGATAAAAAATCCCTGATGCATGCAATTTACACAGGTAGTGCAGACAGGTCACATAAAGAGCATGATCTCAGGAGGGTATTGAGGAGACCAGTGAAAAGCCAACAGAGGGACACTCGGTGGTCCAATAGAGAGAGAGAGACACAGATACCAATGAGAGAGGACACTAGAACACATCCCCACATTCATAGCCTGACACTGTATCATAGGGATAAACGGGAGGAGGAGGGAGGGTGAGACACAAAGGCCGGGCCCTCCCTCTTGCTCTACCACCAATGATCCCTATTCAGGTACACAGAGCGTGACAAGGCCGGAACACGACCGCTGTGTGGCGGCAATTTGTACCATTCAATGTAAACGAGTCATGTGCTAACCACTCCTCTGCATTCAGATTCAGATTCAAAGCTGTCGGTGACAATGTGGAGCCCATTCAGAGGACAAGCTGGGGACATGTAATGGTGGCCCTGCTTTCCGTGTGCCACACTTGACAAACAGACTATCTACTCTGTCTTCTGACTCAGAGCCTCTTAGAGCTACATGCGTTGGCCACACACTTTGGATATGGCCAGGCGAAACCAACACAGTACAGTATTAACATCAGTTTACAATGTGGAATGGAGCTAGGCACACTTCCTATTGTTAACGTAACAGGCTGTTTGGGAGCTCACGAAAGCCTTGAGGGGGAAATATCAGTAATGATTATAGAAAGACACTTTATCAACCAACAATGAAGGAACAATTTGGTATCATCTATGGCAAAATGAAAGAGGGAAATTCCATGGATACTATAGCTTTTGCACTGTAGATATTGCATGGCAAGATTAGCATGCCAAAGGTTAAAAATTTTCAGTGTGGGGCAAATTAGGACACCAGACCTGCAGATGTGATACGGGCACATTTGCCAGCCAGATGTATCGAAGCAAGCCAAACACTTCACCAGATGGTCTTATATCACCAAGTGCGCTCGGAGGAAATGTCTACATAAATTTGGCCAAGGTCCTCCTTCAATCAAGCCACGAGTACTCGCAGAGAGAAAGAGTCTGGTCCACTGGCGTAGAGAGATTTGTTTAGCGGGCTGCTCAGCTATAGTGACTAAATATACATCTTCTGGCAATTACATATGCACAGTACGCACACTCCATTGACCAAGTGCCATACGCTGTGCTTGCAGTAGTTAGAAGTAAGGCATGAACCACACCATCGCATTCCTTCGTCCTCTGGAAGTCGCGGGCACACCATACAAAACATTTTTCTTACATGTCTCAATGATATCAACAAAATACTAATCTGAAAAAGACTGCAATTTTTTTCACATAGACTAATACCAAGGGACAGTTAAAAGGACACTGTAAAATACACGTACAATGATACCTCAAAGCATTCTGCATCCTAATCTAAGGTTATAATATAGTAGAGCTAATGGGAGGGCAATTACTCCCTGAATGGTCCTCTCTGTTCTCAACATGGGCCCACTAGCATCTCAAAGACATCCACTAAACCCCTCCATTCACACAGATACACACACAGACACACACAGCTCTACTCAGCAGCATCACCAGATGTGCACAACAATACCTCGACCATCTTCTGTTTCTTCTCGCGGCGGTAGAACCGAGGGAGGGAGGGGCAGTAGGCCCAGCAGTGTTCCCTCTCGCCTCCCCCCAGAGAGGAGCACAGGGAGTAGCCTCGCCGCTTGGAGAACGACAGCTTCTCGTTCATCTTGGACATCTCGGGGCTCACGATGTCGTTCTTCCCCCGGCGGAAGAAGCTACAGGTCATCCTTGCAGCCTTTCCTTCTCACTCTCTGCTATACACTTGTGCCCTAGAAGCACGCTACTGTCTAGTAATGCCTACAGATCCACAGCCCGAACCCGGTCAACGCTCAACGACAGAGTCTATTGAATGTCTATTTTCCGGATGATTTCAGTCGATCCAGGGCCAGGATGTACCAATATATGTACACTTGTGTTGGTACAGAACAAGGGGCGAACAAGCACAGGAGACCACACACACAGACACACACACAGAAGTGCGGACAGAGGAAGAGAGTCCGTCGCCACTCGGCACAACTACTTGCTCACCCCACTCCGGTGGCCCGGCTTCCCCTGTCCCAGGCTGACCATCCTCTCTCGTTCGGCTGACTATATGAGGCCGTCTGCTGCTTCCCAAGTGACGTTACGGCATTGTTTTGCTGTCTATAACATGTTCAGCATCAAAAGATCCGAGAGATGAAGTGGAAACGCTGATTTTACAGCAGTGCGCGCGGGGGCGTGGCACCTATTCATAAGTCATGTGATAATATACCAATTTTTCCACCTTTGACCCATCCTATGACGGTGCACTTCTGCACCAGAGGAGCACTAAGATAAGCAGCCTTTGGCTTTGCCTAGCCCAACACGGCGAACTTGAAAGAAACCAGAAGAGCCCTGAACGACACGTGTGCGGAGCACGCTAGTTCTCGTTTGTGTGGGGTGTGTAGGCGCTTTATAGAGTATGATGTTCTGGAGAGTTAACGGAGAAGCCAATCTCACGTAGTAGTATAATACTGTGTCGGATTAAAGAACGTGTGGATTGGCTATACCATGTATGCTAGCTATACCGCACTGTCATCAAGGTATGTACTAGACGCGCATGCGCGCTAGTCTATTTTTAGAATTGTTACTAATAATAGAAGAATTCTTCCTATTATAAAAACGCTTGCCCGGTCAGGATGCAGACGAGCTATATAGAAGATTTTGACGACAATGGACGCGAAAATGCATAATGGTTACGGAGACATCGAGGGAAGCAAAACCAGCAATGACGAAGCAGTAAGGAATACTGCTTCTTACCAGTTGACCCTGCGTGGTGAACTATCACTCAAGCGAGAAATAGTACTGGACTTTACCTGCCTCAAGGCTTGCCTGGATCCACAGAAGGAGAAATCCGACGGGGAAGAGGTAATACGAAGAAATGCCATTTTCAACTGCGCATGCGCAATGTGTTTCACTCACTCTGTAAATTGCAGTTTGATTATGAAGAGTTTCTAAGTCAGGAGCTGTCCAAAGGAACAGCTTTCTCTAAGGTTGAGGTTCTGAAAGTGCGAAACCTTATAATCCCTATCCCTCTATCGCCCCAGAGTGAAGACTACTGTAAGTTGTCATACCAAGTGTATATACGAAGTAGCTAATAATGGTCACTCTCAGATGCTGACTTGCTGTATGGGATAACACATCTGTCAAGTTTGGTTGAGCTGGATCTCAGTGGAAACAAGTTGCCAGAGGAGCTCCAAAAGCACTTGACGGTATTATTTACTTCCTCATTTCCTTGTCGACGGTTTATAGATTTGAGACTCCGATACCTGCTGCGCTGCCCTGGTAGCTCAGTAGGTAAGAGTTATGTGCCTAGCTAGACTGGGAGTGTCGTGGGTTTGAAACCCACCTAGGGTAGCTCTTCTTTCTTCTCCTGGGTGCACGTACTTTACTTGTTTGCTTTGCCTATGCTTTGTCCCATCGTTGATGTTTGCATAATTGTAGCTATATGATAGCTAGAGTACAACAATTATTGCATTCCACAGTTCTGGAGTATGGAGAGACTAAAGAGACTGTATCTCGACAACACGGGGCTCACCAGCCTCCCACCATCAGTGGGCCAACTGAGACAACTAGAGGTCCTCTCTGCCAACAAAAACTTCCTCTCCAGTCTACCTGTCACCCTCAGCTTCTGTGAGAACCTCAGAGAGCTAAACCTGAAGGACAACAAATTAGACAGGGTACCGAGTGTCGTTCTCAGACTCCCTCACCTGAAGGATCTCCGTCGTCTTGGGAACCCCCTCCCACAGCTCTACCACGGTTTCGAGACGCCCCCACACATTAAACTCTCAACTCCCAAAAGTACAAAACAAACAAGTGATGAAAAGTTCAATCCGGGCTCCCTGCAGAGTCTGTGTGCTAATGCTGCATTCAATCACAAGATGGACTACTGGACCACCGGCAGAGTGGGGACTCTGCAGTGCAAAATTCTGGACTGCCTTGCCTCTGACTTCAAGCTCTGTGAGCACTGCGACAAAGTTGTGCACCATCAAAGTAAGCTCATTGTAATACTTTTCACTTTTCAGTTTATCAATATAAGGTCACATTAAGTTAAGGCTCATAGCTATACGTTATAAATTTTATGAGGTCACAATTAACTGCCTTAAGTAACTGCAAACATGTGCTTGGTCCTTTTTCGATGTACTAAAATGCAGGAGAATGTATAATTGAGGTGATGTTACTTTGCTATCTGAACCTGCGTTTTGTTTGCACTTTATATAATTATTATGGGCTCACAGTTTCAACTCCAAACAATCAATGTGTTCATGTCTGCTTGGTGTCATAGCTAATCAATGTTAATGCAGGAGAATGTACGGTTGAGGTGATGCTACTTCGCTATCTGGACCTGCGATTTGTTCCGGTGCAGCTCACAACCTGCAGTGTGGAGTGTCAGTCTGCAGTGCTGCAGCACTACCGCACACTGCAAGTCCAGACCCAGGCCGACATTGATAGAGACTATGAGGAGAGTGTGAAGCAGGCACAGGCAGAGGCTACGGGGTGCAGCCATGGTACTGATACCAGAACACCTCGTGTCCGTCACCCCAGGGTAGACAGAAGAAGACACAAGTGCATTATAATGTAGAATTCTCTTTGTGTAATGGGCTATCTACCCATCTCCTCTGTGATTTCTTTACTCTAAGTGTGTTTGCTTTTGTGGATAGTGATTTTTTTATATACTCAAGAGTCCCTCGGCACGTGCATGCGCAGCGAGGGTTACAGTAGTCGTTCTGTCTGTCTGTCCGTCCGTCTGTCTGTCGACCCTTATTCTGGAACTACACGTTACGAGGCAGCCCATGAGCGATACCAACGGCTTCAGAACTACGCCAACCTGAAAATTAAAATGGCGATTTTCCTGAAACGACTGTGTTCCAGAGATATGGCGTGAAAACAAGCGAAAAAGCCTAACTATGCACATGTCTACTTGTGTCAATGTTTAATGTGTGATCATGACTTAAGGTTCTGTGAAGCTATTATGACTCGTGTATGATAAAAGATCAAAAACGAGTGTTTCTAGCTAGATGCCTGGGCCAGCACGCTGTTCCACATCAGTGCCTTGACCATTCCCAATCGAACACTACTAGAGGACTTGCAGATCCATCAGTCTTCCTCCATGTCTCTCCCCTGAGATTACTAAACACTATCACACACAGCTATTACAGAATTTGTCTGTGTGGTAATGTTCTGTGTGTCTCACGACACATATTTCATTCACAATTGTCCTTAACTGCTATATAATATACAGAGTTAAAGTTTGAGCAGAAAAAATATATTGTACTTTCAAAAACAGTTCAACAGCAATAGCGAAAAGTAGCTAACTACAAGTAAAAAACTGTTCATGTCCTGACGAAATGCACCTGAAATATTCACAGCACTTATAAGCGAAAGAAAAGTGGGAATTCTGAAACGCTGTCTATAAACTCATCAGTAGCAGTCAACACCACAAAGTGATCGTCAGTACCAAATATGTCGGTTGTTACTACCAGAGGAAGGAAGCAATCCTCTTCCTCTCCTCCATCAAATGAGCATGTCACTGACACCACATTGTTATTGAATGTACAGGCAAACCTCTGAGAACTACCACCACCACACACTCCTTCAAGCTCTAAAATAAGAATTTGCACATTCTACAGGGTTCCCCTTCTTTGGCATGACTATAATATTATAATTATGCAGAATTAGCGTTGGATATTCCTAAAATTATGCGACTAGAAAATGATCAAACGTTCATTGTACCCTCATAACTATATAGGATTGTAACAGTTCCCTTGCTGAATTACTCAATCTCATATCAAAAGCTCATAATACACGAGCTAAAAGGTAACACACCTTGTTGTCCATAGCTAGCAGCGAACAGTGAGAGTAGAGCAAGTAATTTTTTCCTGTTTGTTAACCAATGTCTGTAGTTCCGCAAATCTAATGTTTCTGTGAATGGACCAAGTTGTGAGGCAATTTGTAGGCTGCCTGCATTAGCATGCGGATAGGAACCTGGTTTATACAATTGGTGGTTACATCTGTGTCCTACATGAGTCACAAAGAGTGTATTAGGCTTCGGGATGTGTACAATCTCCCCAAGGTTTCAAGAGTTCATTTGTTAATCCTTTAGCTCATCAAGGGGGGAGGTGTCAGGAAGTATATATACACCAAAAATAGTTATGTTCCCCATCATTGCTCATCTTTCATCTTAATATTAAGTAGAGGAAGACTTCCACACCCACAGCCTTTGTAGGCTCATCGGAAGGCAAAGATGGCTTTTAATACAATTGTTTGTTTGATCTGTGTCCTACATGAGTCACAAAGAGTGTATATATGAGGCTTCGGGATGTGTACAATCTCGCCAAGGTTTCAGGGGTTCATTAATTTACCCTTTAGCTCATCAAAGGGGGAGGTGTCAGGAAGTTTACACCAAAACTTGTTATTTTTCCAATCATTGCTCATCTTAACATTACGTAGAGGAAGACTTCATTACCCACAGTCTTTGTTAGCTCATCGGAAGGCAAAGACGGGTTAATACAATTGTTTGTTTGATCTGTGTCCTACATGGGTCACAAAGAGTGTATGAGGCTTCGGGATGTGTACAATCTCCCCAAGGTTTCAGGGGTTAATTTGTTAATCATCTAGCTCATCAAAGGGGGAGGTGTCAGGAAGTATACACCAAAAATAGTTATGTTTCCCATCACCTTAATATTAAGTAGAGGAAGACTTCCACACCCACAGCCTTTGTTAGCTCATCAGAAGGCAAAGATGAGTTATTGTAGGTTTCACCAGCAGTAAATCATCTTTGTTGGTTAGTAAAATTATATCAAAGTTACAAAAAGACCAGATGTTTGCATTTGCTCTGCTTTGTGAATAACCGGTGAAGAATGTAGCCAATGATGAGTTAATTAGTTACAATATTTCTGCTCTTGTATAGCCTGGCCTGGTCTGTGCAACTGCAAGTAAAACATGTTTACAGTACTGCCTATAATAATTTGACATTGATTTCAATCACTTCCGCAGGCATCATGTTAGGGACTGAACAAGCCACGTACTGTGTGAAGCCCTTTATCAGTCTCCTTGACTGTTTTGTTTAGATATAGCTAGCTATGCACATCATATATAGACCTAGCATCATGCCTCCAGCAAAATAGGATAGGGTGAACACTGGTATGTACCTACAACTCTCAATAATAGTAAAGTGATGAAGGCCAACCAGGGCTCAAGTCACAAGTGCCAGTGTTGTTGTTTAGTCGAAGGCCCTGTATAGCCACTAGGTCACTAGGTTTGTGTCATGAAACGGAAACCCAACTGCACATATTCGACTGACTCTCACATACTTTTGGACTCTCAGCCTTATACACCATTACACACAAGGTGACTCGGTATATTGAGCAAGCTCATCCTGTTCCGATGAGCTAACAAAGGCAAGGTCTTTGTAGGGGTGTTGATATCTCCCTTTAATGAATTTGTATAGTTGGGCATGATAACTAACACATTCCCCTTTGGTAAGCTAAGACAGGAAGGAATATATAGACGAACCTGCGAAACCTTGAGGAGATTGTGCACATCCTTACCACAAAGGCTCTGTGAAGCCTCTCATACACCCTTTGTGACTCATGCAGGACAAAGAGTCAGTTGTATATATTATATATTAACCAGGTTTCTTTCCGCATGCTGATAGTTGCAGACTATAAAAATCCCTCTCAACTTTGTGCATTCACAGAAACATTGGAACTACAGACAATGGTTAACAAACAGGGGAAAATGATTTTTCTATTTGCTCTGCTCTCACTGTTCAGTGCTAGCTATGGACAACAAGGTGTGCTACATTTTAGCTCGTGTATTATGGGCCTTTGATACCTATCAATGTGAATGAGTTAATCAGCGAGGGAACTCCGAAGAATGTACAGTGAAAATTTAAGTGTTTTCTAGTGGGAGAAAAATGCGTAACTTAAGCAATGTAAACAACACTCTTTTCTGCATAGTCATGCCACAAAAGGGTGAACCAGTATATGATATTGTGCAAATTCTCATTTCAGAGCTTGTTGGAACTTGTGGAGTAGTCGGTGGTGGTAGTTCTCAGAGGTTTGACTGCACATTCAATAACAACGTGGTGTCAGTGACATGCTCATTTGATGGAGGAGAGGAAGAGGATTGCTCCCTTCCTCTGGTAGTAACAACTGACATGTTTGGTACTGATGATCACTTTGTGGTGTTGACTGCCATTGATGAGTTTGGACAGCGTTTCCGCACTCCACTCCTATTTAGCCTGCAAGGTAAACCCAGGTTAATTCCCACTTCCTAAGTTTGTTTTTCTCTAACTTCGACTGCTAACCACCACAATTGCTTGAAACTTCCTCATAGCTTCTCCACCAAGTGCAGTCACCAACCTGGCTGTAGGTGAGGTGACCTCATCCTCCATTGAGATCTCCTGGTCTCCTCCTGACAATGATGGAGGTAACATTATCCCACTTCTGTTGTTCAACATTAGCTACGATTTTGTTTTTACAGGCAGCCCAGTGACCTTGTATCTTATTGAGGTGGCCGGCCGTGATATTGAAGTAGGACCTGATGCAAGAAGCTATGTTCTGACTGGTCTTATTCCAGAGACAAATTATGGGTAAAATGAACTTAGCTACCCGATCGTGATTCAACTTATCATCCTGTTAAATATTATTCTCTAGATTTGGTGTGAGTGCAGCGAACATTGCTGGAAGGGGGCCTGCAATTGGAATTCTAGGAACTACTCCACAACGTATGTTGATTATTAATTTTCAACAAAGATTGGATTAATTATACGAACATTATATAATGAATTTCGAGTGTTTGTCTCTATTGGCAGTGTTTGGAGGAGTTTGTGGAGCAGTTGGTGGTGGTAGTTCTCAGAGGTTTGACTGCACATTCAATAACAATGTGGTGTCAGTGACATGCTCATTTGATGGAGGAGAGGAAGAGGATTGCTCCCTTCCTCTGGTAGTAACAACTGACATATTTGGTACTGACGATCACTTTGTGGTGTTGACTGCTATTGATGAGTTTGGACAGCGTTTCAGGATTCCACTTTTCTTTCGCTTAGAAGGTAGGGTAACGCTTTCTGCTCAATCATGTTTTTATGTGCATCTTTTTCAGCTTCTCCTCCAAGTTCTGTTAGAGGTTTGGCCGTGGTTGGTGTGACTTCATCGTCCATTGAGGTCTCCTGGTCTCCTCCTAGTGATGATGGAGGTAAAGTAGACATTACCCTCGCCTATCTGTGTCCCACAACATGACTATGGTCGTCTCCTCTCACAGGCAGTTCTGTGACCTCTTATCGCATTCAGTTGGTGGAATCTCGTTCACTTGTTACTGAAGTTGATCTGGGACCTGATGCGAGACGCTCATCTCCTGACTGGACTTCGTCCACAGACAACTTACGCGTCAGTCATGTCGTGTTGAAATTTTGAAGATTATTGTAAAACTATTCTTCTCTAGGGTGTTTGTAGGGGCAGAAAACAGTGCTGGACGAGGATTTGCAATTGCCATTCTAGCAATAACTACAGGAGTAATATCTTAGATTATGGTGAGTGCTGCTGTATTATAACCTCTTCTGCTACATGTGGTGCAATGTCAGGTATAACAACTTTTAGTTAGTGCCTGAAATCCAACACTACTAATAAGAGGAGATTATAATTTCTGTTCATTATACAGGTATTGCGGTTTCGTCAGGACATTTTGGACAGTTCTTTGCACTTGTGTACAACATAGTTAGCTATTAGCTTATTGTAGCTGAACTCTTTTCGAAATAATAATAATTTTTGCTACAAAAACGTTGAACAATAGCAATGTGTACAGTTCATTGACAATGGCTATTTTATAACAAACTCTTTGTGTTGTGAGACAAACAAAACCTTACCACTTTCACAATGCAAAAAACAATGAACAACACCCACTTTTTATCTGCCCTGAACGCACAACGGACACTATTCTCTAGAAACTGAGCTAATACAAGCAGCTCAGCAGTCAGAGCTCTCAATACGACACAACACAAGCTAATGTAAGCACGGTAACAGGGATATGAATGAGTGCAGACAGGTTTTTTTTATTCCCGACAGTGGTTAAGCCGACTCTATAACAAGAACACCTAAGCAGCTGTGTTAGAGTCTGTTCTGATGGGATTAATTGATGGGGTTAATGATGCAGATTCAGATATAGCAAGTTTGGGTGTGTGGTAGGAAAGACTGATGTTGCAAGTTTGGGTGTGGTAAGAATATAGCAAGTTTGGGTGAAGTAAGAAAGACTGATGTATAATATAGCAAGTTTGGGTGTGGTAAGAAAGCCAGGTGTTGCTATTAGTGTGCGTGTGTGGTAAGAAAGACAGAACTATTTTTGTGTGTGTTACTGATACTATAGCAAAATTAGGTGTGTGGTAGGAAAAACAAATGTAGCAAGTTTGGGTGTGGGTTGTTGGTAAATAATATTATTATTTGGTGAACATTTGAGTGTTTTCTATACTGGGCAAGTATGCATAGCAATGCAACCAACGCTATTTTCCGCAAAGTAATGCCACAGAAGGGTGAACCAGTAATTGTACCACAGAAGCCCTAGAAATCAAAGGCACCGCAGGCAGTGTATGCGCACGAAGACAACTCATTAGTATGCATGCCATGGTGTATGGTGTGCTGACTCAGCCATACACTCACATGTGGTGTATGAGCTTTTCTTTCGCTTAAAAAGTAGGGTAACGCTGATCTGCTCAATCATGTTTTATGTGCATCCTTTTCAGCTTAGCTATTCTCCAAGTTCAGTTAGAGGTTTGGCCGTGGTTGGTGTGACTTCATCGTCCATTGAGGTCTCCTGGTCTCCTCCTCTTAGTGATGGAGGTAAGGTAGACATTACCCTTGCCTCTCTGTGTCCCACAACATGACTATGGTCGTCTCCTCTTGGAGGCAGTTCAGTTGGTGGAATCTCGTTCACTTGTTTCTGAAGTTGATCTGGGACCTAATGCGAGACGCTATGCCCTGACTTGACTTCTTCCACAGACAACTTATTATGCGTCAGTCATGTCGTGTTGAAACTTTGAGGATAATTGTTAAACTATTCTTCTTTTTTCTCCAGGGTGTTTGTTAGTGCAGAAAACAGTGCCGGACAAGGACCTCCACTTGCCATTCTAGCAACAACTACAGCATTATCTAGATTATGGTTGAGTTATAACCTCTATTGCTACACGTACACACAAGAAATAGCTTTGATGTCGGGTTTGTGAGAGCACTAAAACCCAACACTACTACTCAGATAAGCTTGTTTAACTATGTGCTTCCCATTCTGCAGGTAGCTATTACGGTTTGGTCTGGACATGTTTTGAACAGTTTTCTTCCTGCTATTGTTGCTAACTCTTTCTGAAATACTATAACAAAAATGATATATTAAACTCTAAACCTTTATCAGTGCTGACAGCTCATTGATGGTGGTGAATGCATGAGCTAGATATGTGTGTTGTGAGACAAAAACCTTCACATACAGAAACGCTATAATAGCTGTGTAGTTAAAATGTAATGTCAGAGGACAGATATTGAGGAGGGTGCATAAGCCATTTAGTCCTATAGAACTTCGGTATTGTGAATTATCAAGGGATTTGATGTGGAAAAATTGGTATAGCTCAGGCCTATATAATCACCAGTTTGTTGTCATTGAATGAGCCTTTGAAGGAGGTAGAGGAGGCTGATCTTCAGATGAATGTAAGTGATTGTGAAAGACTTTGTATAAATGACTTCATTGCATTAATGAGTCCAAGGAACAGGTTTTTGGTGTGGCCAATGCCTCTCAACAGCTAGCTACACTGATTGGAGAGGAATGTGTACTTCCAAGAGTTTGAAGGTACCATAATGTTTAGAGGTTAAATTCAGTTGCTTAATCCCTAATCAAGCATTCGAACGACACTTATACAGCTGCATGACACTATTTTACTGGACACTGAGCAGAGTATGTGATTTGAACATAGATAGCTGGATAAAAAAAGTGGGATAACCAGGAGACACGACACATTATACAAACTAGTGAAGTTAATGTAAGTCATGTCTGATGACCTTCTCATCCTTCATTAATTAGTGCCTTTTCTGGAGAAGAAAAAATATTTTAACATCTCAACTGTACATTATGAATAAGCATAACACTTACCCTTTATTACCCATATCAAAATCTTCTTTTCCACCTATACAATAGAGCAACATTCGTACAACACAAAACAAAATGGGAGATTTTTTCGATCTCATCCGTGCTTTTACCTACCATCGTCAGTATTTGTGACACAATTGAAAAATTTCCTGCACACTTTTTTTTTAATGGCGACAATTACCATGACCACGACCACGAACACGACCACGACCACGACCACGCCAGCACCAATGCCAGCAATAGCTCCACAGGATAAGTCAGGATCTTTGCCACCATCACCAGGACCTGAGTACAGAATGCCTATGTGATACACATAATGTGGCTGACTTATGCACGTGTGGTAGCTACAAGTGCAAAAAATTAAATTGGACATAGGGGTGGCTTGAAGCACCAGAAGGAAAGAAACGAGGTGTTGTAAAACAAACACACAAAACTGCATGACATGTCCCTGTTGCACAGAATAGGCCTCGTATTGACTCTCAGTGTGCATGCACAGCGAGAGTTATTCGTAAGTGCTGGCTGGCTGTCTGTCCGTCTGCCTGTTCCTTTATCAACCCATGAGTTCCTACATTAATCTAGACACAGTATATATCACTGACTTGATTCTTACTTCTCTAAACATCCTGTACAGCGAAGGCATGGCCTGGCTATTTAACCCCTCTTCAAACCTTTTTACCTTCCCTCAGATCACGTACAATGAAAAGAAAATGAATGCTCTCCACTTGAATATCATCTAGAAAATGATCATCAACAACCTTACCCAAAGACTTCCTTTATTCACGAACAAGAGAATTTTAGGGATGAAGTTATGAATAACTTTCTGTCTCAGTGTATGCATGTTTTTGTTCTTATCATGAGGTCACGTCACTACACCCCTTCATTTCAGAGAAATGTGACTTCAAGCATAGCGGACATAAGTTATTAGCTACACAGTCACATTAGTCCAGAGTAGCACTGATACGAAATATTGTAGACACATACTAACAATCGACAAAACAGAGGGAGATAAGCGGAGAGACGTCAGTACTCACTGGACTTGATAGAGGGAGGTTGAATGTTCCCTGGACTCCACTGGCAGAGCAGACATAAACACCACTGTCCTCTACCTTTGTCTCTGGGATGGTCAGCACACCTCAATGGGGAATTTTGATTAGGTGGTAGAACGGCAGAGAGAAAGAGAGAGAGGAAGAGGACCAGAGAAAGAGTCAAAGAAGAGTAACGGAAAGCACAGAAAGAGGAGGAAAAAGGAGGGGAATGGGTAAAGGAGAGAAATGACTGGGGGAGAGAAGAGCAAAGAAAGGACTAGAAAGAGAGGAGGGAGGGGAAAAGGATAGAAGGGTAACATTTTTATGTCCCTCCCTTTTGTCTTTACTATCATTTAGGTGGGAGCCTGGAGGCAGGGTAGAACCATCTTGTCTGGTCCAGTTAAAGCTGATAAGGCTATCATCATCATCAAGGTGCTCTAGGGAGCAAATGAGGGTCACTGTCTCACCAGATGTAGTCTGTAGTGTGTTATTTTCTCCTCTATCAATTATTATCATCCCTAGAAAGGAGGGGGGGTGCACAAGCAATTATCTGTGGAGATAACAATCTCCAATTATCTTTTGGAGGCCAGACATTTCGGTGGTTTTATCAATAACCAAGGAACTATTATCCATGTGCTAGATTTTCTGTTGCTTTAATGTTCTACGAAGGTATCAGATGGGGGGAAGGGGAATCCATTGGTCTATCTACAGTTAGTAGAACAAAATGGATAATTCATGGAATGTAAGGATGTCACATCATGAAAAAGAAGAGGCACAAGGAATGACTACACGGAGGCAGAAAGTCATTCATAATACCCCTGCATCTCAATCGTTTGAATACATGACCATACGAACTTCTTGCAAAGATGTAGGGATGGGGCTATCTCTTACTAACTCAGTGTAGTAGTCAATTCAAACGCTGTACTGTCGCTACTTTCACTGACAACATGAGTGAGTTTAGCGATTGATGTAAAAGTGTAGCTAAGAACAATAGCTACTGAAGGGATTCCCATGCAAGGTGTAGATGCGGATGACGTTCACGCTATACCGTACGCATGTGCGGCACTGTTAATTGATGGGCTGGTCCAATTTACCGTTTACGTGACTCGTGGTCGCTTACCAGCTCGCTGGCTGAGAATCGGTCACAGGCTTGCTACACTGTAGCACGCGGGAGTCGATACTCGTCCTGCGTTGCAACTTCTGGTGCCTCCAAGGTACGCAGAGCTGGCCGAGGTAAGCCAGTGCTAATTTGCATATTAGCTCCTTCACTTTGCTTCACGCCAGCATTTTTACCAAAATCGCTATTTTTAAAATAAAGCCAGTGTGGCACTGAACCCGTTGGTATCGCTTTTTGGCCGTCTTGTTGCGCGTAGCGGAAGAAAACGTGGTAACAGACAGACGGACAGACGGACAGAATGACAAACCAAGTACTTTTACCCTCGGCGCGCACTCGCTGTGCATGCGCGCCGAGGGTTAAATACATCCTTGTTGAAGACAATACATGAAGCGAATGCGGTATCTAGCCCCTGCCTCAGGCACTAGCAGCCCCATTAGCTACTACAACAGTTACAGTCTATGGTAGCCTATCTACAACATACCCACGAACACTAGAGTGACTGTAACCATAAATGCAGCTGTTAAAAATAGCGGAAACAAGTGGAAAAATCATTTCTTCAAAATGAAAGGGGGATATAGGGATGGCTTGAAGCACCAAAAAGGAAGAAACTAGGGGTCATTACACAGCAAAGTTGCACAAAGCTACATGACACTATCCCTATAATTATATTCGTTTCATTGTTTATAAGCAAAGTTTAATATCGAACAAAGATAGGGATGGTGTTATGTAGCATTGTGCAACTTTGAAGATGTGATTTTTCCACTTGTGTAAAAACTAGTCATAGCAGCACATTATACAAGGGAGCACACTCTAACATTCTAATACGGCATCACATGCACTAGGCGATCCTTGTTTTTCAACTCATCCATAACTAATTGCAGTATTAAAGCAGTCCAGTATGTCACATTTTTGATGGTGTTCAGCATTTAGAGGCACCTTGGTTCTGAAAAGCAAACCCTCGGCAAACTGCGCATGCTTGATACTGCTAATTGTGGGCTGGGCTATTTGTATGCGTTTACTCGTTGTCTCAAGCTAGTAGCTCGCGGAGAGTCTGACATGGGCTAGCTACAGGTAGTAGATAGCATGCGGGAGTCGATACATGCCCTTCGTTGTGACTTCCTCAGCCCCCAGGCCAGCGGATCCACATTACTGCACCCACTAAGGCTCTCAAAACTCCATAAATACCAATGTGGCGACATGGGTATAATTATGGACAAATGATGATGCCCCATGAGATTTCAGCTATAACAACATTGCCATACCCGTGGTTAATGAAGTGCAAATACACCTGTGCATCCATAACAACACCCCCATACCAGAGAAATGAAGTGTAAATCCATGGATGACACAATTGTTTTGAGAAACGCTGCTTTATTCCCCGACCCTAGACCTCATGCAATAGAACCAAAACACAATAGAATATACCCATACAAAATCAACCAGAAAAATTAACCATTAATAATCAAACAGCTTCTGCCACTGGCCACTCAATTGTGCTATATATGGCGAAAAACACGTGATCATTATGCGCAACCCACCAGTGTAACACATGCATGCGTTTATTTTTCTCGCTTCCTCTATATAATATACTGCGGTTGGTGTAGTCAGGATACCCACTCAGCTACACTCAGCGTTTAGGTTTGAGCTGAACTAGCTATTTGGTTTCGCTGCACTCGACACTCGTCTTCCGTTTATGGCATGCTTCCGTAGATACATAAACAGCAACAAAATCCGGTGGTGGTAAGCGAATAATAATTAGCAAATTGGCTTGTTAACTTGGTTTTCACGCCATAACTGTGTTTGAACGCATTGCTCTTACGAAAATCGCCAAATTTAAAATCAAGCCGATATAGCACTGAACCTTTTGGTATCGCTCTTTCGTTGTTTCGTTGCGCATGGTTGCAGAAAACGTGGTAACAGACCGACTGACAGACAGACAAACTTACGGAGAAAGTACTGTAACCCTCGTTGCGCATGCGCGCCGAGGGTTAATTAAGGCATGGATGAGTGTTTGTACAAGAACAGGAGTGAAAGTTGTTGCTGATCTAGGCACATAATAGAAGCACATAAAAAGGCTTGCATTAGATAAGTCAAAATGCAAGTACTGTCACATATTGGTGGCAAAAACAAATTGTGTGTATATAGCAACTTGTAGCAATGAAGCTACCTTGGAACACTAATATTGTGTCAGTAAATTTGGATAATAAGTAGCTAGCAAGTATTAAACATCTGCGTAGACCACGTCAGCTTGGACTTTGGCCATCAATAGATAACTAACACATTAACCTCATAACCAGAAAGATCTTGGGGACTACGTAAAGCCATATAAATCAATTGCAACGGCATACAATAAGCTCCTGCTTAGACAATATCCCGATTACTACTCACCAACAGTGCGAAACCTGGTGGGTAAACTCAAGCCTGATGGTCCATTAAAATTGATAGACCAAACCCTGGCATCATATATAGTGAGAGGTGTCAGTTCATTCAGGTCATAAAAGAGCATTTCGATGCCACTGGTCCTTCCATCATCAGTCCAGTTCTGCATACCACTTCTGATCTGAAGTGTGTAGTTATCAGGATATCCACCTGAATAGAACAGGGAAGGAGTTTGAGAGACAAGGGGTAAGTTTAACTTTACTGTTTAACTGGAAACTTTGAAAGAACACTTTTTGTGGGTAGCTATAAGGATATTTGTGAACCGTTTTACCTCCTTTTCATTTACACCCCACTGACCTGGATCCATCCAAGATATTCTGGCAGATGTGTTGTTGAAAAGAGTGACCGTGGGCTTAGCCGGGACCTGGGGAGGACCCACAGGAAGAGTAGTGACTATTATTATCACTGGATCACTTATCCTTTCTGTACCACCAATGTTATTGACAGCTTGAAGAACTACACTGTGAGTAATATTGAGAGCGTAAGGAGCACGTTCAGTATTGCAGTATGACTGCTCACTTATAAGTAGTGTTCTGCTTGAGATGGTTGAAAATGTACTCCAGGTTGGCACTGGAAGGAACTTCAACGTTCCTCATTGACTCAGGTCCACTACCAACATCAGATAAGGACAGTTCATACCTCACAATGGGATGACCTGATCAGAGTAGATGAAGAGAGAGGGGGCCGGGGCTACGTAACACCTGCTTAAGTACACAAGAGACAGGCCAAATACCTTCAGTCGTCTCAGGTTGTTCCCAAGAGACAATGATAGTGAAAGGGTTAAGACTTGTACCATTAAAGTTCAGTGGAATGCTGGGATCTGAGGGAAATGGAGAAGGTTCACAGTTGGATTAGTATCCATCTTTCTGAAGCCAACACATGTCGTTAGGCACCTCACGTGATTTTGTACATAGGACCTTCAACGAGGCAAGAATCCCTAACAAATGCACATTCTTCTACCTGCTATTGGAACTAGGTGATTGGCTGAATATGTCTTAATTAAGTCTCATAGAGTAAACGGAGGTGTGCATTTTCAGAAACTAATGAATCTCTTCCCATATTATGTTGCTAGGTTTAATTGTGACTTGCATATAGTTTCTTTTTGTAGACTGGAATCTCCCACAAACATTACTAACACTTTCACAAACGTTTCACCTACACAATCCTTGCTGTCTTCCGTTTCCCTAACTCATTTAGCTGTAGTATTCTACTGACATTACTATACTGTAACGACTTGAGTTTTCAAAATAAATCCTGAAGAAATATGCTGTGACCATAAAAATGATCACTTCAATCTGTGCCTTCATTATTTGTATAAAAGAGTTTATATCAGGTAAACATAATTATACCTAGTGTTTCACACTGTGTTCCATCTCCTGTGTAATTCACCTTACATACACAAACCCCATCAACTCTATCAGCATTTTCGTCACATACAACTGAAAAGAGGCTGGTATATAATAATGATACATACTTTAAGCGCAAACCTACATATTCCAACGTTGAATAGCAATATATCTCTGGGATTACCACCATTGCAAATTATCCCTGGACATAAGATAGAAACTATAGTCCCACTTTCTGCTCCATTGACTTCAAGACTAATGTCATTATTCGTTAAGTTGCTCTTGGGGGTGGTATTATTGCATAATGATGTATAAATTCGATCATTTCCACAAGGGTTGCGAAAGCATTCGGTCATATTTGACACCTTTGAGTATATGCATATTCTGTAGTTAAGCCCAAGAACAAAATCACAACCATAGTCATTGGACAATTCGTCAATAAGAGTTCCACTATAGCTGCTTGGAATAGATTTGTACACTGCAGGAGAACCAATATTGTTGTTACTAGCCAGTTACAACACTAAACTGAACAAACCTGTTCTGTTGAACATGGGTATGTATACCATCCCTGCACAGTCACTGCTGTCATCCACAGTGGTAATGTTGATGTTCTCTCCATAAAAATCTTCTGGTAATCTTATGGTAGCCAACAACTCACTTTGGTTCTCTAATACTTCATAGCTTCTAAAAATATTGCTTGTTGGCTCATTACATCTTGATAGATTGACAGAAAAATATCTGTCATTTTCATATATGATGAGACCAATATTAATTGTTAAAACGCCCAAATTATTTAAAAACGTTATGTTTTCCAATGGACATAGACTATAGTCTTGTGTTCCTGCACAACAGAACCTCAGTATTATTTTCTAAAACACAGACTCTTGTGCTCAATGCCTGGTTCTACACTTACCACGAGGTTGTGTTGGCGTAATAGTCGTAATACTACTGCAAATATCAACAACAGAGCCATCGAGATATAACCTAAACAAACAGCGAAACTTAATTTCCGCCATAAATTCAAACTCAAGGGTTAATCCGCTGGCGTTAAAACCGTCTGGAATACGTGTTATTTCATATGCTTGAGAATTGATCTCCCACTGGGAAGGGTAAGTAGCTGGAAGATTTGTGGAACATGTGAGGGAAATAGTATCGCCGTCAAAAGCTGTGGTGTTCCCGGGCAGGAGTGTAGTATTGTACTCATCCAAATCAACACATTCAGCACCTTGGCAAAAGTAAACCGTCCACAGAAAACAGTAACGACACAGCATCGCATACATCTTGTAGACTGCCGTGGCGCAAAATGGCTACAAGTTTTTACGCACGCACTTACGTATGACCGCCGAATAATATTACCAACTGGCCAACTGGACCGCCAGGGCAATCTAAATCGATGAGATCACATGCTCTAAGCTAGCTATTACGCTAAATGTTACCATTATGTATGCATCTGTAACGTGATGAGGGGTCAAGTTACTTTCAGTACGTAGATCAGAAATGAAAGTGCTGATGAAACATGAATCCTCCATAGATTCTCTATGGGAGAGAAAACCAGTGCGCGACTTCACCAAGAGCAAACGGTTCGTCGTCATTATATATACGCCATAGCATTCTTTTCAACCCCCTACGGTATATACGCGCAGGCGTTTTAAAGCCATGTTCAGAAATGGGTGTGGCCACGTTTTGAATTTGACCTTTGCCACGCAGGGACTACGCCCATTTTTGGAACACCTGCGCGTACCGTAGGAAACCACTGCGCATAATAAAGACGGACCGTTTGCTTCCGTGCATTGGTTTTCTCTCCCATCGAGAATGTATGCAGGAGGAATATGAATAATGCTAATTAGCTTTGGAAATGCTTGGGCGAGCGGAGCGAGTCTCAAGTGTACTGAAGCGCAAGTACCATCATCATTACTAGCGATATATAACGAAAAGCACTACAGTGCAAACCCTCGGCGAACTGCGCATGCGCGAAATTGATGGGCTGGGCTATTTCGTGGTGGTCTCCCGCCGCTAGTATAGCTCGCGGAGAGTCTGACACGGGCTAGCTACAGTAGTAGATAGCATGCGGAAGTCGATACACGCCCTTCGTTGTGACTTCTTGTGCCTACAAGATGTAAAGAGCAAGCGAGCCTGGTCGAATTAGCATAATAATTATAACTGCATGCGCATTTTCCGCAGCGATAAAAATGGCCGACTACGCATTAGCCGTTTAATGCTGGAAGCGCTCTAGCTTTGCAACGGAGCATTTTCAGAGAAAACCGCACAAAATTTCTGACCTTCATTGCCCGTTAAGTAGGTCGTATCCTTTGTGAGACGGACAAACACCCGAGAAGTGAGATTGAGAGTAACACACACAGAACGACTACAGTAACCCTCGCTGCGCGAGATACCTATACTACTCAAACAGCTATACTCTATTGGCATCAATGGGAAACTCTGGCGCCTGCTAAAGCACTGGTACTCTACGTCATCTGCTATCTTGTACACGACGTCTCGCTAGTCGTCGGCTTCCCATTCTTCCGCTGTTTCGGCGGCGAGGCGTTCCCTTGCCCGTTCCCTATCACGACGTAAGAGACAGACAGACAGACCCAACTACAGCACCCTCGCTGCGCATGCGCGCCGAGGGTAGTAATGCCTACAGGTAAATGTTTCAGCAAGTAACAGAAGTTGTTATGGTTTTGCTTGTCATACTATGTTGCAGTGAAACTACCATAAAATAGTAGCACGGAACGGTAATGTTTATTCCGACGTTGTGTTGCTCGCTCTCCATCTCTAAATCGTCGCTGAAAAAGACGAGCCTCTAGGTCGTGAGGACTTTCGACGGCCAGGGGTTCTGTCTGTCCACCTCTGTGAACAGAAGCAGTATCGTTGCTGGACGAGAACTGAACCACCGGGCCCCGCTCAATATTAGTTGAAGCGCGTAATGTCGGCGTATAACTACGACAGACGGTGCGTCGTATTAAAATTCAACCCGAAGAAACCACTAGGGAGGCTCGCTCCGCTCGCCAAACAAGGAGTGAAAAGGTATAGAGAAAGGTATATACCAAAACTCACTATACACGAGCGTTGTAGCCACGCTACTGAATATGCGACTTCAACTACCACCAATGATCTTTATCCTTAGAACCACTCCTTTACACACTTACATTGTCAGCCTTTTTGTCGGACTAACTCGTACCTTAACTCATTTGTACCAAAGACATGCTCAGTCTGGAACTCACTCCCTCTTTCAATAAGATCGTCTGACTGCATTTCTTCCTTCAAGTCTTCTTTGAGAGAGTGGTTGATTATGTAATTCTCGTATACAGTCATGCACCATGTACTAGCCTATTGCTATTTGTGTATGATTTATCGAAGAAAAAAGAAGAAAGAAAAAATGATGGTGCACATTCAAGTGAATTTTACAACTGGTGCTAGTTCTGTACTGTACAGCTCGTGCTCTCTACACGTTTTGTATGACTTGTGCATGTATGTACTTACCATGCCCTAGTGAGTCCATGCAATGAATGATTGACTGATATTGATTGATTGATTGATTGATTAACTTGCACAACCCCACTTTCTCCTGGGATCGAACACCATGGCCATACCTATAAGTTTTGTGGTACGGCGGAAGCTGACATCCAACCTTCCAGCCGGCCGTTTAGCTAGTCCCCATTGGTAGACACACTTGGGGGTTGGTGCCCTGCTGCTATTTCCACCATTCGCTTGATAGGTCGTGCCCTAGGTCAACGACTGAACTCCACCAACACTACACCCAGGACAGCTCTTTCTTTTCAAAGAATAGAAGAAGAGCTGCCCTGGGTGGGATTCGAACCCACGACACTCTGCAGTCTAGGCGAGCGCTCTACCAACTGAGCTACCAGGGCAACTCAGTCGGTAGGGGTTTGAATCTACAACACAAAACAACACAACACTATGCAAACCTCAAACCACTGTGCTATGGCACAGTATATATACTCTCACTCAGAATTTAGGAGCAGACCGGGGTAATTAAACCACCAAAGACGCCCAACTCCAAATCGAGTATACGTGTGTCTCAACAACTTGGTAACAAGGTAGAAAGGCAAGGCAAAGCAAACAATTCAACTACATGTATGCGTCATTGGTGCAGTTAAATTGGATAATGAGTGGTTAACGAGGTAGACATCTGTAGATCCTCTCAAGAATTTCTACAGCAATGACTGTGCATTCCATCATAAGTGGTTAACATAATAACTACTAGGGGTGACTAGGTTCCGTCTTGGTGGGCATGCATGCAATGTCAGTGGACTTGTAGCTAAGTATACCAGTGCAGCTGGGAATGGGATATTTCGTAACTGCCATGGCAACCAGCTGACCACCAGAGCTCAAGTTACTCAGTCTTGTTTATACAGCTCCAGGTGCATGTGTGTACAGAGCTGCCATGTGAATATATACTACCTTCTTACACCATACTGTAAAATATTCAAAAGGGGTGGTATGTGCATGAAATGTTGTGTGAACGTCACTGTAACTTTAATGTAAAAGTACAGCCTAGCAGTACTGTAGGTACATTATGTGGGAGGTAAAACAAGGACAGTGTGTGTACAGAGGTGTGGCCGTGGTGTTGTGAGGAGGTGAGAGTAGGAGGAGCCACTTATTTAGTTTCAATTCTTTACAGTGGAACCTAAAGGAGGAAAAGTTGCTGTGCAACACTAATTGTACACGTCTTGTTACTAGCACTGTCAGTATTACTGTGAAAGCAGGTAGCTAGTTGTACCTCTACATTCAATAACTTCTCTGTATAAGTATAAAACCACGACCATATTATTAGTGTAATGCATGTAATTATACTCTATGTGGGCTGGTATCTGGTAAAACTATTCCTCCAACACCTACATATGCACCCTTATACTCCTATATACATACATAGTCTGAATAATAATATTATATAATTATATTACAGATCTAGTTGTGCTTGGACCAGAAAGGATTAGTAAGAAATTGCATTGGCATTAGGTCACACTCTCTCTCACATAGGAGTCCTTTCCACAGCAGAAATATAATACCTCAGTGACCTCAGCTACACACATGAATAATATTATGCATTGATCCACTAGATATACACACATGATGCAACTTTGTTGCCTGAGACGGAGTTGTAGGCAATTTATATGGCTTTGATGGGTCTGAAAGATGATGCACTTTGTTTAATGGTCTATTATGCCCAGAAGCATCACCTTAAGATACCTTTTCAGTCGAAACATTAATTTAAGTGCAAGTCAAAATCTGGTTAAAGTAGTTACTGTGCAGTTCTTGGTATATACTGTTACATCTTCTGGTATAGATAATGACAACAATGAAAAGCACTAAAGTGCAAACCCTCGGCGAACTGTGCATGCGCGGTACCGCTAATTGATGGGCTGGGCCACGGGCTATTTGTAGTATGCGTTTACTCGCTGGAGTAGCTAGCGGAGAGTGTTTCAGAGGCTCTCTTGCGGTTTTACGCACTTTATCCGTCTCTTGCCTGTTCAAAGTTTGCTCAGGTGTTTCAAAGGCTCTCACGTTCGCTTTTTGCATTCTACTGTGCTTCGTTATATTGCGCTGCGCTTTACGCTTAGATGGGAAGGCATGGCCGCATCCACAAACTGCTCGTCTAACGTGAACTGCTGTGCTACATTCCGGACATACCTTGCTCAGTTTGTTGTCCATATATCAACACTGACCGAGGAGAGAAACTCAAGAACCGCTTGCTCGTCCAAGGTCAACTAAAATAACCACGTGGCATCTCGCAGATGCGCATGCTCCGGCAAACGATAATACGTAGTTAACGGAAGGTGCCAGACCCGGTACCAGGTAACAAGAGCCTTGTGAAAGTAACGAATCTTTGATGGTTACCACCATCACTACAGACACGTCGTACTTTAATAATATAGACAATGCGCATGCGCGGCACAATTCGTGAGAGCGCATGCATAACGGCAAACTCCAACATACGCGCGTGCGCGATGGATCGCTCGCGTCTGATGCTGCGAAAAAATACGCGCGTGCGCGATGAATCACTCGCGTAAGCTTTTTCGCTTATTTGCACGCCATATCTCTGGAACGCAGTCGTTTCGGGAACATTAATATCAATCTTCTCGTCGTTCACAACCCGTTGGTGCCACTCATTGGCCACCTCGTAGCCTGTAGTGCTAGAACTCGCGCGGACAGAGGACAGACAGAACGACTACTGTAACCCTCGCTGCGCAGTGAGTGTTCAAGTGACAATGGTTTTGAAGGGAGATTCCTGGGAAGAGATGTGATGCTGGCAAGTTATGTCCATGTGTAGACATCAATGTTGGTTTAGATTCTTGGAGAAA